TATACTAATAAAACAAGTTTTAAAAAAAAGCAATATGATGAAAAATACAAAAAGATGATTACAACATTGGTATTGGTACCCTTTAAAAAAACAAAATGAAAAAATGGGTAAAAGTCCTTTTCATTCACCTGTTATAAATCAGAACTTAGACCCATCCTTGATAAACTGTCCTTTGCTACAATGAAGAAGTCAAATGAGAACATCAGATGCACAACTTTGGACTACCAATTAAAAAGTTCTGATGATATAAATTTGGTTCTCTTCCATTTATTTTGGAAGATGTAGCAAAAACTGAAAGGGTACTAAAAATGGTGACTATGATTGTATGTTCTTAATAATTGTCTTTAAACACTACCTGGAAAAGGATTTTTCATCTCTATTTAAAAATATTTTTCAATCATACTTTTTTCTTTCTTGATCATATTTTTTTTATGTTTTTCATTTTAGATTTATGATCTTTTGAGTTTTTTTTTTCTTTCTCTTGATTGTTTTTATCAATTGTTGTTATCTTTTTAGAAGTTGCATTTCTTTTTTCCTTTTTTTTTTCTCTCATTTTAATTAAAAGAATATTAATTGAAATGACTATATTTAGATGGTACATATATTCTTCTCCTTCCACTTATTTACATTTAATATTACACTGTTCTGGAGTTAGGCTTGGTTCAAGTACTGATAATCAGTGGCATCTGAGTAAACATCTGTTGTAAGATGAGATAAAGGATCATCTGTTAAGCAAACAATATTTATAGCCTTATGTCAATCAGGGTAAATAATGATACACAGTGAAATAAAATGGACAATATAGATAGCAGTTTCATAACTTCTGATGAAAAGAAAGAACAAGTTATGAATTCAAACAATCATTAAATATATTAACAAAACATTTACAGAATTATTATTATAGTGTTATGCTGGTATCACAATATGGTAAAGAAAAGAACTTCATTTGAAGTTGTTAAATGTTTAAACAAAGTTTATGATTGATCAGGAACTTGAAATGAAGATATTTTAGTGTATGATTAAATTGTTTTACTTATTTTTGCAAAGTTAATCAAGTTCATTCTTTTCAATCAAAATGATGTGAATCCAGATCTGATTTCCCTGTTACTGATTTGTTGGGCAAAACTTTTTACATTGAGGAAAATCAAAAGACCAGCCTTTTGATCTGCACAGGAGCACTTTGGATTAGATAGAAACATGTTCTTTAAGATATTTTTTTCTTGTCTCTTAAACAGAAATAATCCATGGAACCTCATGGGTAGAAATGAACTTTGATTAGTCTGGCTGTTGAGACATCCCTATCCAGTATGTCTCTACACATTACCTATGAGATACCTCAAATTTGCATATAAGAACAAGTAGATATTTTTTGAGACATGGGAGCAGAGGGTGATGGTGCTATATGCCATACAGTATATCTTGATAATTTTCAGTTTACTTTGCTAAAATAATTTTACTTTAAAAATGAAGTAAAATTTTATTTTTACAGAGTAATTAAAATATTAGAGAGGATTAAAAAATTTAATAATAAAATAAAATACTTTGGTCTTTCCTCTTAATAATAACACAAATATTTTGATGATAAAACTTTGTTTTCATCAAGTTTAGGGTCTTTTTTTCATCATGGTATGCTCTTTTTTAGTGAAAAATTAGAGGTACCTAGATTAGATGCTTCTTCTGATATTAAATTCTGCTTTTACTTGAGGAGTTTACAAACCTGACTATGATTTCATATGATAATTTCATCTGATTTTTTATTGGACACAAAGCAAATAATTAGTTTAACATATAAAAGAAAATGTAGATGTTAAAGTAATATCCAGCTGGAATTTCTGATATCAGAAATCATTATTGTACATTAATCTATCAGATGAGTATCTTCATTTTGGTTCTTAACACAATGTTCAAGTCATTGTGCCCGCCACTCTTCTTCAAGTGTCTTATTTTTAATAACATTTTAGGGTTTTTGAACTGTGGGGGTAAACTGTTGTTCTTCTGTTATAGCTGCACAGAAAGCTCTCAAATCACATTCTTCATTATGTTGCTTTTGTTTTTCCACCAAACCAAAGATTAAAGATCAGCAAGTAAGAAGAAGCATCTAGTTACTTTATGGACATAAGTTCATTCTTTGGAGAAGGTTAGAATGCATGCTAGTTGGATGCTTTGACTATTGCAGCTATGATATAGTCTGACTAGATTAATAGATAATAGTCATAGTTGATAGCAAATGCATATACCAATCTTTTTTTTTTTTTCTTATGACTCAGTCCAGGTCTGTCTTGTCTTGAAGTCAGAACACTATGTTCATTTTTATTGGTTAGGAAGAAATCCCAGCATGCATTTGTAGGATTTGTCTATAAATTTAGGGACTTTATCAAGGCAAATGTAAGGGTTTTATTTTGTAACAAGTATTTATATACAAGAGCAAAAGTAAGTTTTTTTTTGTTTTTTTTTTTAATACGAAAGAATTAAAAGAAAACTGTTAAATCTGTAACCTCATGTCATTCAAAACAGAACAGATAAATCAATCCCAATTTAAAATAATTTAAATACTAATATATATATATATATATATATATATATATATATATATATATATGCACACACACACACACACACACACACACACACACAAAAAACCCTCCTACTCACTTTTGTTTATTAGGCATTGAACTGTATCACTTCATGTCCATGAACCTGCCTGACTTTTCAGCTAACCTGGTGAATATTCATTGGCACAAATACCAAAAATTTTGAAAAACCAATAAAGTTTTTGAGTTGGAAGATAAGTCACTGAATTTATCTATTCACATATATATACATTGTGCGATGGATAAATTGTCATCTAAATTATGCAAAAATGAAAATAACATCGACATCTCATTTTAACATATATATTTACGAAAATTACACAAAAATATCTTGAAATACTAAAGAGTAAATTTTATTCAATAAAATCGTCATTGGCTTCAACCACAGCTTCCTTGTTTAATTTGGGGAATGCTGCTATAATTCTTGCCTTCAGTTAATCTTTGGTGTTAAGAGTTTTGTTGGTCTCTCACACAACTGTGCCCCACATAAAATAATCAAGGAGGTCTGGGCAGTTAGGTGGACAGATGTAAGGGGTGATGTGGTTGCAGAAATTGACTGGGTTCTCTTGTTTGTGGGGCATGGTGCAGAGTCCTGTTGCCAAACATAGTCTTCCAGCAGCCACCCTCTTGATGCAGGACAGCACTACCTCCTTGAAGCAGTTGATGTAGGTCTCAGTGTTGAGTCTGAGACCCTCACCAACAAATTCAGGAGTTTTTTTTTCTTATCAGAATGATCAGTAAGTTTTCTGAGCTGCCGTATCTTCATAATCACCATTAGATTTCTCCAACTCTTTCCAAGGTCGATGCTTGGACTTAAGGTAAGCTGTACATTCACTTGTTATCATGAGGAAGAAAGCGGACTAAAACTCGCTGCCACGTATGTTGGGGCATTTATTATGACATGGCAATAAATCTGGATAACCTTATTTTCTTCAATTTCTTTTTAGAATAGACAATGGGACTTATACCAAGTTAAAACTTAATGTTGCGAGAGGGTAAATGCAAGTGTCAGCCAGGACTCTTTGCAAATTACCTCCCCCTCTCATCGTTATCTCTGTTTTTGTTGTTGTATGTGTTATATAATAGGAGTAGGTAGGCTTTCCTACCGCCCGGTCAACACTCCTCCCCCTTCTCTTGGGCATGAGTAGAGGCTTACGCCTTGTTTCTTGTTTAGGAAGGGGTTTCCGGTACACTTTCTCTCTCTCTCTCACTGGCCTCTGTATCTGCAGTTGCCTTGATCTATTCACTAATCTTTTCCTCATCCTATCACTCCTATCTGATCTTGCTCCAATTTTTCTGTAATCCCTTGCGTCCTAGTGGCTTTCTGCTTGGGGTGAAACGCTTAAAAAAAAAAAAATCCTCTGAACTGTGTGTGTGTGTGTGTGTGTGTATATATAAATTTCAGGATGAAATTTAACTGCTGCTAATATGATATGCCTGTTGAGATGAACTGTCAAAATCTTTAATGTTTCAGTTGCATTTTTGGTCTTAAATGCTTTATGATCCAGTATGTGATCATGCTTCCTGATTAAAAGGTCAAGTGACTTAGGAAAAGACTCAAACTATCTGATTTCTGGAAACTTTTACCTTCATAAAGAAAGAGAAAAGTTACAGAAAAATAATTATCTGATATTTAAATCTGTTTTAATATGTTACATAACATTTTATAAAAAAAATAAAAAAATAAATGCTGTTTAGTGTTAGATATTATTGAAAATTCATTATTCAAGAGAAGGAATGGAGGCTGGGTTTAGTCTGCCTATCCTTGCTGAACATACATAATATACATCGGTGCCTACTCTTGTGATAAATTAAAAAAAAATTGTCATAGAAATAATGCACCAATCTAAACAGAACCCCATAAGCATCTCATAGTAAATCTGTTTTATTTTTACTAATAACTAGCATTAACTTTCATCATAATCTTTCAGTTGCATTTTATCACAACTTTATTCGGGTTGTCAATATAGATAGAAATTAGGATCAGAAATAAAGAATAAACCCTGGGTCAGGTTCAAACTCACTTTTCACTCAGTGATATGAAGACCTATTTTAACAGATGGGAATTTGACAACTTTACAAAAGACCAAATCAAAACTATAACTCATCACTCTATTTCACAACCTCTTTCAGCACTATACTTGGTTTTGATTATAAACTCATAGCAGCAATATTCTTTTTAAATTAAGTATTATCAGATATTATTAATTTTGACTACATCTTATCTTCATACTTGTGATTTTTATTGCAATTTTACTCAAGCTTTCAAAAATTGAAGTTATTTAAGTTTCAGTAAAGACAAAAAATAAAGATGAAAGTAAATCCTAGTCAAAAATTAGTTGATAATGCTTTATTTAATTTAAAAAGTGAATAAATAAAATAATCCTTTTTTTTTTTTTTCATCTCCAGAAGTGTCTAGTTGTGACTCTTCTGATTCTGAAGAGACAAGCTGCATAGCCAAAGGAAATGATAACTCGCAAACAGAAGAGGATGCTGATGTTTCAGAGTTGAATCATTTGAACATCACAGAAACCACTGAGAGCCTCAGTCCTTGTCAAGTAGAACAAAAAGAGGAGGAGCAGGGAGAAGAGGAAGATGATGTTGATGATGATGAGCAGGCCAGTGCCCAAGGTAAAACAAGTTAATATTTATAATTTTGCATTGTCAATTTTCCTAATGTAAGATAAATTGCAAAGACAAATAGCTTGATTTTTAAGTGATTTTGATATTTTCACAAATGGCAATAAATAATAACTGTTTAATAACAATTTTCTTAGCCTGAATGTCTTAAATGATATAAGTGAAAGTGTTGGAGTTATTTTGTTTTTTCTTTCTCTTCCTTTCTGATCATCATTTTAATCTCCATTAGGATAAAGTTTTATAAAAGACTAGCAGCATTACCTGGGTTTCTTCAAAAAAAGATCACAAACCTCATCCAATCTGTAAAGTTAAAATAAAGAAGATTTTTTCTTTAGTGCCTCTTATCTATATGGTGAAAAATTATAATGACATGAAGCGTGAAAACATTTATAACAGGAGGAAGTTGTTTTTTACAGAAGCACAGAAAATTGTCAGCAAATGAAGAGTACATTAATCGCAATCAATCTTTGAAAATTGTTGAGGAGAAATGCTTTGTTGACAGCTTTTGCTCAAACTACATCGAATGAACAATATGCATTGGAAGGAGAAGAAATTCAACAACTACTTCAGTTACACAATATAATCTCAATATGTACTGAAATTTTCATTGAAATTGGCGAATACTGCTACAAAATACACTTGAAAAGCAATTGAGGCATGAAGGGGTTTATAGGGTCATCCTGGGGGCCCCCTCATGCATTTTTAAAAATCTGACAACCAATTTCTATCTCATTGTAAGAGCATAACAAACATTCAAAATTTCATCAAAATCGAAGCAATTTGAATTTTGGGGGGTTCCTTTGGGGCCCCCTGGGGGTCCCAGTGTTGAGAGAAATGAAAATCAATATAGCGTATAATAAGCGTGATAGTAAGTTGCATACACTTATCAAGTTTCATTAAAATTGGCCTTAGGGTTTAGACTTCAAGTCTGAAAGTTTAAAAACAACCAAACTAATGGAAATTCCTATTTAAACATTATATTTATTGATTATCAGTTATTGATTTTTGAAAAATGACTAATTTTTTTTTTCCCAGACACACCCAGTTTCGAGTACAATTTATGTTCCAAATTTGGTGGAAATATGCCTTATGGTTCTCGAGTAGTTCGTGAACACATACATACATACACACACACACACACACAGAGTCAGTTTTATATATAGAGATGATAAAAAGAAATATCTGCTCATTATTTGAAAACTTTAACCTTACTCACTAATTTCAAATAATTGCTACACAACTTCAATTTCATTCATGCAACAGGAAATTGTCTTTTTCACTATATGGAACCAGTTTTCAAGCTTTTCTTTGTTTAGCTTTCACTTATTAATCTAATTATCTTTTTTCAATCTGTCACAGTGAGTGTAATGCATTTTTTATACTATATTGATTTTTCAAGCATTTAGATATAGCTAGACATAATAACTGTAATAAAAAAATGTAACTAGATGTAATGTCTGTAGTAAAAAGATGTGGCTAGATGTAATATTTGTACTAAAAATAATACAAGATACACATGACTTGCTGATAAAGAACAGAATATAAGATGTAGACAAAATTGAGTATCTGTTATATAAAGCTAACTCATATTACAGGTAAGATTTATTAAACAAATGTGCATAGTAAAATTGTTTCCATCCAGGAAACATTCAGCAGTCATTGATCGAACAGAGTATGTTACTTTTGGTTGAAATTTATAAATTTTTCAGGAAAATACACTTCTCAAATTCACTATTATCACTCTTTCTAGCATTGATGAGGGTTTCCTTCAAATCTTTTGTTTATGGAAAGTTAATAGCTTGATTATATTGTTATTTTCCCTTCTAGTTCACAATGCTACCCAGTTTTTTGTTGCTGTTGTTGGAAGTCTTCAAGAGAAATGGGTTTTTATTATTTGGTAAAGATCTTTGTGATTTTGTAGTGCTAGTCTATAGGGTCTGATGAAGGAATATCTAATAGATTTATAGAATTTATTTCTTTGAGAATATTTTTAACTTAATCTGAGAAAACTTCTATGCAGATGATAGTTTAGACATTTCTGAATGAATTGGATGCTATAGTGGATTATATGAATGAAAGAGGAAATAAAGATTATGAGGATAAGGAGGCTAGATAATGATAGGAGCCAGCTACTAATGTAATACTATTAATATATAGATATTCAGAAGCATGCCTAGAAGGTAGAAAAGGAATATTTTGGCTCCTCTTACAAAAAAATACTTGTATACTCTTGACACATGTTGACCCGGTGTAGAAGGTGAAGGTTGTTTACAAGGTAGTAAATGAATGAAAATTTTCATAGTACATAACATTGGCACTTAAAAGTAGAATTTGATAATTTATCCAAGCGGAATTGGGACATATTTATTTTATTTTGCATGACAAGAAGAATTTCTTATAAGTTATCTTGTAATCTGGTTCCAAGTAGTTAAACAGTGAATGTTGCAATTTTCTACCCAAAATTTGCTTGAACATGTTTCTGCACTAATGCCCTGTTGTTTGTTTAAAATCAGTAAGAGGAGGATTTTCTATGTTCAGGAATTAGGACAATGTGTAAGAACTACAAAACTGTTATGTATTTCAAACAAATATGGCAGACTGCTCAGTTGATCTATTTTAGTAAATAGCATTAGAGTGGAATTATCTGCCCCTGATCAGGAATCAATTTTCTTAAGAAACTGAAGATAAGTGTTTTCTCTCTCACATGCACGCATATATATATATATATATATATATATATATATATATATATATATATATATTTATTCTTTTTGCAGTATAATATCTATCAAAATATCTTCAGTTTTTAAGTATTTAATTACTGAGGATCCTAGCCAGCCACAATTTTTAACTATCATGAAATATGATAGGTTATATTTGTTGCTGATTAAAGGAAGCATTGACTTTCTGATAACCCAATTTTACATAATATGACAAAAAATGTTAATTCGACTGAATTTTATGTTGTAGGCACCCAAGATTCACTTCTTTATATAGATATTGATCATTTTTTTTAAACTGTCAGAATTATTTGCACCTTTTCCTATAATTATGAAAAAAAATTACAGTTGCCATAGAGCAATATTATTTCATAATTTCTATGGGAGAGGGGGTTGATTTAATTTTGGATTGCATCAATTTTTAGAAAAATCTATAACTATGAACATAATAGTTCTAAACGTTTAAAAAAAGAATCATGAATTATTCAAAAGTATATACAGAATAAACTGTCTATGGCAAATTCAGTAAATACTAGAAAATATTTGCATTTCCTTAGAAAATATACAAATATTCAGTGGGGGTGAATAATTCTGACATTAATTGTATATCATTCATTTCAACAAAATTTCAATAACTTACAGAATAGGCAGAAAAAAAGCAACTATTCAGAACTGATGATTTAAAAATAAATGATTAAACATGTGCAAATTTTAATTAGCTTCAGACAATCATAAATTGACAGATACTTAGAGTTAAGACAAAGACCAGTTCTGAAATCCTGAGATTGTCTACTTTTAGACAAGATATAGCACATACCACTTGGAAAATGTTCCAAGAATGCCAAATATCCACTTGTGAAGTCATAATGCTATCTACTATTTTTAGTTTGTATTTTTAATTGTAATATCTGAAATCCCTGATTAAATAAATCATAACACAATTCCTGTTTAGCTTAAATTTTATCAATCCCTATGTAACTTCATTTGCTTTGAAAAAAAAGTTTATCCTGCCACTGGAGATAACCCTGAACAATAGTGCTTGAATTTCATAGTCGTGTTGTCATATCCAGCTATGGCAACAGAAAACAACTTTAAGTGAAATTAACAATAAGGATACTGCAATTGAGAGGCCTTGAAAAAGAATGCAGTTGAAAGGGAAGTAATATTAATAATGCTGAGTGCTAAAAGTTAGTGTCATAAAGTAATGTTACTAATATAAACCAGAAATTTATAGTTTCTTTGAGACTAGTCAGTACCAAGATGAGTGACTGCTTGGAAATCCCAGGTGCTGTAAGCTTGGATATGCAGGTGGGGTAATGGATAATGGCTTGGAATTGGATATCAGAGAGCCAACTTTCAGTTTATAGTCTGGTTCATTATATTGAGTTATATGTAAATACTATCTCTTCTTCCAGCTATAGGTTAATTAGTAGAACTCCAAAAATTCTTACAATCTACAAAATATTTTCTCGCTTTAGATAACCTGCAAAAGTTGATAAGCCATAAAAAAACAAATCAATCGATCATTATAGTTACTAAGTTGTTATTATTACTAATGTTATTAATATAGCCTAGTCAGTACCAAGATGAGTGACTGATTAATATTATTAAGTAAATTTTTACTAGGAAGCTGATAGCATTTTGCTGTGAATGGCAAAAATATTATTTTGATTATCAGTTTGATTTATTTGTCATTGGCCCAATTAATAAGATATTTATTAAACTACTTTGCAAAATATATTTCAAAACTTGTATCATTTACTATAAAATTTTATAGTTTTGGTTTTATCATTTAAATTGGTATTAACAAATGGTGATTTATAAAGATTTAGAACTTGTACACCTACTGAAATGCCAGTTATCTTATTTTCAAAATTTCTTTCAGAGGAAATGGATGAATTGTTATTGCATTGTTTCCTTTGTGCTCTGAAAAGCAGGTTGAAGGATAAAGACCTTCCAATCCCAACAGTTAACTTCTATCGGAACCACATGAAAGCATTTTGGTTTGTATTTCTTTTGAAACTTCTTTGAAATTAGAGGAAATTGTTTGAGAATTCTAAAATATTGATAGAATTAGGGAAGGAATGAATCCATAAATTTCAACCCATTAAAGACCTGAATGGAGATTATTCAGGATAAAAAAAAAAGAAGGAAAATTTAAATTTACCAAAAAGTTATGTACAAATTCCTATCATCAAGTTACCTTTGATTACATTAAATAAAGATCATTGTTCAAATTGGTTTATTTTTGTTTATCTATTGAAGCTGGAAGACAATAAGCCAATATTTTAAATATATTATTCTTTTTATTTTTTTCAAATGTAAGATACATTTTTGAGAAAAATGTATCCTTGTAACAAATGTGACATTGCTATGTCAGATTGGGATATAGTACCTGGGGCTCTGTGGGATTAGGGGACTTTCCTTAATGCCTGATAGATGGCATGGTAATAAGTGATATAAAAGGAAAAGAATCACTCACGCTTTTGCTGTTTACCCCAGGATGCTGCAGTGACAAGCTGAGACTCATCCACATTAGGGGTAGATCTCTTTCTCTGGGCAAACTGACTACTTAATTTCAGCAAAATTGCATGGCGTATCACACACACACACACACAATACTGGTAAGTACATAATTGTTTTTCTTTCCTTTTTCTAAGTTGTCTCTGTATATGCACAAGTATATTTTCTTAAATTACGTTGTTCTATGTGTATGTATGTATGTATATGTGTGTGTGTGTGTATATATATATATATATATATATATATATATATATAGGATTAAGAAAATGAAATAACTAAATATAAGTAACCCTATATGCACATGCTGGTTTGTATACACAGGTAAGCAAATAAATATATATATATATATATATATACACACACACACACACACACACATTACCCTCACCCCAAAAAGTGTCCAACTTCATTCTATGTTTTCCGAAAATTCCAGTTTTTAACATTTTTCTCATCATCTTTCTATTTTTTCTAATACATACATACACACACAAACACGTATTTGCTGAAATCATTGAGTTTAAAACTTTTCAACTTCAGACATTACTATCTGTTAAGTTTCATCTGATTAAAGTCATAATTTGACACAGACTATTTTGTAATTAAATCACTAATCAAAATTTAGAAGTATTTGAATTTTTTATGAATCAAGTATAAAGACAAACGTCCACTGTTCTTGAAAAGAAAGGCATGCTCTTCCCAGAAAAAAAAAAAAAAAGATTTGACAACATTTCCAGAACACAGATGCCCAAGGATGACTTTGAAAGGTTTACTGTGTGTTGTGAAGTGTTGTGAAAAACAAACAACATAAAATAATTCAAATTTATTTGCTTTTGTGGATTTGCTGAAATCCCTTTTCCTTCTCGCATCATATGTAGTTTGCTTTTATATTGATTATTTACTCGCTTAGAGACTGCCAAAGCTGGCCGTTAAATCACTTTCTATTTATAGAATTTACATTATAATGAAGTACAAAATAAGGGGAGACTACTCTGTAATTAACTAAACTTTACATTTAAAATTTAAAGTTAGTGTCCTTTGTTCATTTACCAATCTCAAATCGGTAAGTGTTGAATGAGTTTTAAATATCCATATTTAGATTTTAAAGAAATTGTTTTGTAGTAATAAAAATTGAAAATGCTCATGATCGAAGAGAGAAAGAAACAGAAAGATTAATAATTTTTATATAAAATAATAATAATATCCATGAAATAGTAATAGATTTATTTCTATAACATTTTTTTTATGTGTTAAGTAAAAATAAGTCCATTTATTAAACAACATATTTACTGTTTTGTTTCACATTCATCTTACAAACAACTTCCTAATTACATTCACCCAGAACTCAAAGAACTACTCAAGATGTCGTTAGCCGTCTTCCAGTAAAATAAAATATTTTTCATTAAGAAAATTATAGAAAGACTAGATTAAATGATAATCCCAAAGTGGAAATATCTGGTATAAATAACTGAAAATATACCTTTCAGGCTATAATAATTTGTTTTAGTCTGGTCTTCAATGAAAATTAATAAAATACTACACACTTTTTATTAAATAATTTTGAATGTTTTTGGAAAGAGTACTTGTTTCAATCATTTAATTCCATGGAAAGAAAACAAATTCTTCTATACATGGCATAACTGTCTGCTGGATGAAGCTCAGCCTTTGGCATGGTTAGTGTGGATTCATTTTACTTACCCCCACAATGTAGATTATTATCAAATATCTGCTTATTTTTCATTGCCTGTTTTTTTTTTGTTTTTTTTTTTTGCTTAAAAATGTAACAATATTTAACTTTCATTCTTGCATAAAAATGGCCTGTCAAAAATATGATTATTCCCTTGAGGCCATTATTAGTGTGTACACTTTTGACTCTCAGCAATGTTTATTTACAAAATTATAAAAATATGCAAACTAAGTACAATGTGATATTTATTATTTAACTTTTATAAAGATTTATTATTTTATTCACCATCTTTAAGGAAATTTAAAAAATCATCAAAATATGTAAACCAATTGCAATGCAATATTTGCAGCAAAAATTACAGACATTCTGTAAATTATTCACAAGGAAAACTTTGTTGACCCTAATGAACAGGGAGATACATACTCAAAATATTGAGGTGTTCATGGTCTTGCCAAAAATCTAAAATTAAAAGAATGTTTAGTTCAGAGGAAGAGATGCTGTCACCTAATTTAGTGAATTTATGTTGCAAGAGTAAATGAAAGAAATGCCCAGAAAATGTAATTTTCTTGTTCTGAAAGTTTTATAAATTTATGAATGAAAACATTTCTTTTCCTATTTACTTCTTTATAAAAAAAAAGGTAAATAATAAATATTTCATGATAGTTGGTTCACATATTTTTATAATCTTGTAAATACAAAATTATTCTTGTAAATATGCAATCTAATAAATAAATAGTGTTTAGCATCTTTTGTTTTGTCATTTCTCAAGAATAAAGAAAATGTATAAATCCACTTTCATATGTTTCGGTTTTATTTAAATTCTAATCATCACTTTTTAAAACAATAAACATTGCTAAGGGAGTCAAAAGTTTATCCAGTAATTGCGGTGTCAAAGGAATAACCATTTCTTTTGTAGGCTAGAACGTTAAACATTGCCAAAAATGTGATATTCTTGTTATGGTTAAGTAGTGAAATGCACATCTAAATATTGTCTTGTAGTTTATTTGGGCGGGGGTTGGACTTATCTGGAAGCCACACATCAAAGTGGCAAGCTGATGCAAATGAGTTTCAGTGATTGAGGTTGGATATGTTCAGTATGTTGCCTATTTCATGTGCTATATAACTGTTATTAGTCTCAAGTAATATCTCGATTCAACTGCTATCAATCTCAATTAATCCAATGGAGCATCCTTCACATTAACTTCTGTATAAGATGCACAAATCTTTTACTTTATTTAATGTGATTTTTCTTAAGAATGTTAAACATCTTGCTTATTTTTTTCCAACTCCAATGTTAGAATCAATAAACAAATATATTGCAATACATAAATCAAAAGTGATCTTTTTGTTAATGAAATTACGTAAAACTGTTTTGATGCTATTGAATGACATAAATGAACTTTTGAATCAATCCAGTATTTTCTTTTATTGAGATTTTTTTTTTTAGATTTTCAACTTTTAAGCAACATGTATAATTTGTCTGTTGTGTTAATATGTTGCAAATAAATAAAAGAAATATTACTTTTTGTATGAGGTACGTTAAAAAAGGATCCAGCTTTTGTGCATAAAAAAAATCAATTGTGTACATTTCACAAATTTTATTTGATTACCCTCAAAATACTCCTATTGGGATTTCACATATTTCCCCCAGCAGTTCTATTCCAACCCAAAGGATTTTGTCCACATTGCTTTAGTTTTGGCGGGAAAAAATAACGTCAGATACTTTTTGGACACACCTCATATATTGTCTTCACACATACCCAGACACTAATGAAAAATAACTGCAAAATTAGCATTTTCTTCTGGAAAGGTATTTAGTAATATTCTGCTTTACATTATTTCAGCCTACATCAAACTTGCCCTTTCTAGAGTAAATTTTAGTTCAGCGAATGTTCAATGTTACATCACTCAGCAACCTCACCTACATCATGATAAAAGGACATGAAATAGTTTTCTCCTTAAAAATATATTAAAAATAAATAAAATACATAATTAACAATGAAGGCTAAGACACCATTCTTAAAATTCTTTGATGCTTTAACAAGAGTTATATTCTTCCATGTGTTGTTTATGGTAATTAGTAAAATGTTTGTCTTCATACTTAAGGCATTTTTAACGGCAAATCCCAAGGTATAAACATAATTTTATTGAGTTCATTGTTCTTTAAAAAATTTGACTAAAATGTGTTTTTAGTGTTCATTAAGGTTTAGCAATAATTATATTCTTTTGAATGTTATTTCTACTAGTTTGATGGTGTTTGTACTCTTTTTAAAAGAAATATTGAGAGTGACATCAAAATAGATGCTTGTAGGCAATCAGTATTTGATTACCAAAGAAAAATTCTCTTAGTGTGACGTGAATAAGTATTGAAATATTAAGAGAATTACTTTTTTCATCAAATTGTATTGAATATTGCTGCAACATCTGGTCTGGTGTTTGACAAAATATAAAGAAGAATCTGTAATGTTATTGGTCTGGAACTGGCATCTTGGCTTCAGTGACTTCCCCATCAGCATAATATACCTTCACTGTACCTTTTCTATAAATATTTTCATGGTAGTTGTTCTGATAGCTTTCCTCTTTAGTACCTCTACTTCATGAATTTAATTGCAGTACTAGATTGGCAGTTAGGTCTCATCATTTTACCATTGAAATTGCTAGATGTAACTGTAAGTTCTATCCTAATAGTTTCTTCCTTCACACTTTTTGCTTGTGGGAACCTCTACCAGTTTCTTGCACTCCTGTCTACTAAGCTCTTCAAACATTTAAATGCATCATCAATTGTTATCTTCTGTCACCTTGAATTGTGTTCTTTTATTGTTCTCTCTTCTCAACAATATTCTCTCACTTTATCTCCCTCTCTGTAACTCTTTGTGTCTTAGTGGTTTTGTCAAGTTGCTTGAGGTGAAATGCTTAAAACAAAAAATACATAAATGTTTGGTATTTCTAAGTGACGTTTATCACATATTGTAATGGGAATGCTTGTTTTTGTTTTAACAGGTGTCTCCTGATATTATTTTTCCCATAACAATTATTGCAGACTCAAATGTGAGTCTGAGTAATTAATGAATAACACATAAAGTAATATAAAACAAATGACAATGAATATTTTAACAAAAGTATTGCAATAAAAGAAGAAAAGATTTAAAGACTAGTTTCATAAAGCATTAAACTTAGAGAATGTGTGTGTGGAGTTTGTGTAGGCCTACATGATAAACATGTATGAAAGAGTACAAAAAGGTATGAGAGAAAAGTAATACATCAAAAATGAGTGAGAATATCTTTCCCTATCTCGAGGCTTAAGGAGCAGCCCCCTAGTGATGGTTTTGTTTAGGAAAGTCAAGTGGGATAACCCACAGTGCTCACACAGTAAAAATAATTGAAACAAAGATTTTTATATCAAGTTGAATATAAAAATCAGTTTCCAGGTTTCTTAAATTTCAAATTTATAGGAAATAACCTACAGCTTATTTTTCCTAATTTCAGTTCTCCTGGAAAAACATTGGAAATAAAGAAATCTTCCTACAAAAAAGTAAGTTTATTTGGTTTATTAATTACTATACTTTTATTGAAAAAGATAACGATTTGATAATCATATGTTATCTGTTCTTATTGTTTCAATTCACATTAAAAAAAAAAAAGTGGGGTAACAATATCTGTTGATATATCTATATACTTTTTTGGATACTGAAATATAAAAAATCACTTTTTGAATGTTTTTGGAGAGATGGCCGTTATTAATTTTAATGGATCATTGCTTAGTTACATAGCTTAATACACCTTTTTAGTAAATAAAACAAATCTTTTAGAGGGTGCTTTCTTGATCACTACAAGCTTAACCTCTTCAAGTCTAGGGTCAAACATTATCTATCCTACATAAAATTATAATGTGTACTTCCTCTTACACCAATAAAACAACTTCATTCAGTAACCCTCTACCTTAAGTGACTCTTGGTACTTGTATTGGATAAACAGTAACATATTGCTAGATGTTTTTAAATAACACAGCAATTATTGTATTTTGCAACATAAACTGGTGATACAGTTTATTTGAATAAATTATTACTATGCTATAAATGGTGAAAATCCAATCCAATCCAATGAAAACTATTTCTTTCATCTGGCATACAGGCATGCCAACCAGTTATATTTGGTAATAAAACTAAATCGTATAATATATATATATATATATATATATACACACACACACACACACAAATGAGTGAAAGAACAGGTGGAGTAAAATTCCACTGTTCATAGCATTTACTTTTAAAAAGTGCTCAATACAAAGTAGAGCAATATATTATTATTTTTATTATAAAAGATTATAATAAAAAACATGTTGAAATTACTGCACAAAAGCTTTCATGTTTCAATATGATTGTATTTCTTCAGCCTGAAGAAGTACAATCATAGTATTGAAACATGAAAGCTTTTGTGTAATGATTTCAACATGTTTTTTATTATAATCTTTTATAATAAAATATATATCTACTGATGATTGCTGACCTGGCTGGATGAGATGGTTCCCCTCTGGAAACACAATGGTACCTGCTCAGTTGTTTATACTGATGAGATGGATGAGACAGCCTTGATCAAATGACAAGAACCAGTCAAGATAATTGGAGATTGCACTTGCTGGATACAATTTTAGTAATTTGATACTATAACAAAATCAGGATCATTTATACCAGAATCATATGATGGCATGATCCCTGCAGATTTGTTTACAGTGCTACAAAGTAATTCTCTGTCTAAGTATTGAGTAAGTTTGAAGCTGCTAAACTTTGTTGATCAAATGGGAACTGGTGCTTTTAGGGTGATTTAACCATGTTAACAGATACTACACTTTGATTTAAAGGATAGGTCTAACAAGCAACACTTTTAGCCTTGATAGAAAACACAAATAATCTGATCCTATACAGAAATGTCTATCTATACATAAATAATTCCATCATTTTTGACAGGTATGATGTCAGTTTGAATGAACACAACAATTAATTTAACATGGTGTTGAAAATATCTGAATACATTTTGTCCATTTAAAAACAGGGCTCAACATTAAAAAGACAGAGCTACTATATTAGTAAAATGGTTTATCCACATGAGAAGAATAGTGTAATTTTGTTTCTTTATAAGTTGATAAGAAACTTAATCAATGTGTAGCTAGTATAAAAAGATATTTATTCTTATTTCTACATTCAAAAAGCAATTCGGGCTTCTTTTTTAATAGCCTCTCTTGCTTCAGGTCATCTAAGATGCATAACTTTTTTTCCAGACACTGTCCACAGTTTTTAGATACTGCCTTGCATCCATCATCATCCTTTATGTACTGTGTCCCTACAGGTTGTGAGCAATCATGGCTCTCCACAACTTCTTGCCTTTTGTAGCTCTAATCTTTTTTTTTTTTTGTTTACTATCCTTACCATTCCCTGTTCTGTCCACCATTTACATGAGCTTGTTAGATCAATTATACACTGTTCCTCTCAGTTCACCTCTGGTTTTAACTGTTGCCTACTAAACTATATTACTCTCTACTTAGAATTATGAGCATGGGTCTGTTATTTGTTGTAGCCCTCTGTTCCTCTTGCTTTCAATATGTCCTGTGAGCATCAAATTTTCCAAACAAATTCTGTATTCTTAATTCCTGTTCTTTTAATGTTCTCTCTCCTTAATAATGTTTAATTTTTTCCTAATATTCTCTCCTGCTAAATAATCACTTTTGTCTTAGTGGCTTTATTGCCTTGTTTGGGATGAAAGGATTAAAAAAATAGATTAGGATGAATGTGATTATTGAAAATTATAAATTGTAAAAGAAAATGATGACATGTGATCTCCTTCCACATGACCACAATAATGATGACATGTGACCCCCTCCCACATGACCCCAGTGATGACGACATGCAACACCCTTACACAACCCCAATAATGATGATATGTGACCTCTTAGTTTTTTTTGTTTTTGTACTATATCAATTTCATCTTTTTTTAAATTTTTTTAAAAATATTTATGATTTCTTTCTTTTTTTTTCTTATTTTCTACAAGTTTTCCAAATTCCTGCAAACAATGGAGGAACAGAACTTCATAAGAGTGACAGAGAAAAGTAAAGGTGTTGATGTCATTGATTGGTTTGATAAAACACATCCAGAGTAAGTTTTTTTTTTTACCTCTACAAGAATATTAGTATATTGCTTGAGCCGCACTGAAATACAGACATTGTAAGAGTTTGCATAAAACAAGACTGCAACTGTATGTTTTAGATCCAACCTGGAAAGTAATCAAGTGTAAAGATGCATTATGTGCCAGGAATTATTTCATATTATGAAGTGAAAAAAAAAATGATTATCAAAAATAAAATAGTTTTTGATTATACAAGTTAATCACCAAATCAGTCCAACAAGTAGACATTGACAAGCTAAGTTTCATATCATTATTCAGAAAAGCAATAATAAAAAAAGACAACAAAAATGTAAATTAGGGTTAGTGTATCTGATTTATTTTTTTGTTTTTGTTCACACTTACTTTTTTTTTAACAAGTGAGTAGCTTTGATGACTGACTTGCTCATTTGAAAATTTCCCTTTTTTTTTTTTTTTTTTAAATATTTTTTCACCTCACTATTTTGTAAAACTCTCAGCTTCATCTGCTTTTCTACCGCTATACCTTCACTGTGCTTTTCTATAAATATTTTTATAGTAATTGTTTTGATAAGCTTTCTTTTTTGCTACCATAACTTCAGGAATTTAAGTGCAATACTAGATTGGTACCTGTTTCATCATTTTATGATTGAAATGGCAAGAGATGTAACCATAAGTTCTATGTTAATAGTTTCTTCTCTCACACTTCTCACCTATGGAACTCTCTTCGACTTTTTGCTTTCCTGTCAACTACATACTTCAAAAATTTGTATGCAATGTTAATTCACATCTTCAGTCTTTGAATCCTGTTCTTTTATTGTCCTCTCCCTTCAATAACATTTCTTTCACTCTCAGTAATGCTTTAGGTCTTTGTGGCTTTATCCCCTTTCTTGGGGTGAAATGATTCAAAAATATGCATGATTATTATTTTTGTAATACATTTCTGACAGAAAATTGTTTTATTTAATAGCAAAATATTAACTGAATATTAAAATTTATACATTTTATTTCATGACAAAGTTACTTATGAAGCACAAATAAAATTTAAATCACTTCAGGAAGTGTTTTGTTAAAAATTAATATTTTGAACTAGAATAGAAAATAGACATTCTCTTAATACTGTCACATACCTCAGTAGCCAAATCACCCCCACAGAAAAAGATTTCAAAATCTGTCTAAATGGACAAATCTAAATAAATTGGATGTCATTTGGAAATCAAAACTCCTGAACAGTCTTAAATGCAGCATCTTTCATATCTTTGTTGAATCAGTGTTTTTCTATGACAAGTGTTCACAGCCAACAGGGAAATCAAGGAATTATCAGAGAATTTTTTAAAAATGGTCACTTTTTTTTCTTTTTCTCCTTCTCTTTTTTCTTTTTCTTTTTTTCTTTTTTTCTTTTTCCTTTTTTTCTTTTTTCTTTTTCTTTTTTCTTTTTCTTTCTCTTTTTTTCTCCTTTTCTTTTTTCTTTTTCTCTTTTTTCTCTTCTCTTTCATTTCTTTTTTCTTAATGCAATTTGAAATGTATTGAAGGGTATGTTTGTTTTGTGCATTTTTTTTTTTTTTTTTTTAGATTGAAAATTATTTTAAAATAAATGATAAATATTATCTATGGGATATATTTACACTATTTATAGTCAGACTATTGTTCAAATCTTTGTTATAATCACCAGGTGTATATTGATTTGGGTAACCTACAGGGAATTCTGAACAAACCATTTATTTAATCAACAGGGGTAGACTGTTCTTGCTCCACTGCCCATGTATAGGGATATCTTCTCTAGTACTTATTTTTAATATTGCTCAGTTACTGCTTGCCTGTTTTCACTGAATTCAAGTACTCACTGCCTGACCCAGGGATTGAACTCACAATTACTATGTCATCAAATTCACGATCAATCTACTAGTCTCATATATTTGTTTTGTAGAATTAGTAAAATTTGAATAAAAATGTCTACTTCTTTCAATTTTGAATGAATTGTCCAAAGTCTTAATTCTGAATTTTCTTTGTGGGTCATGCCAAATGATTCTAGTTAAACTTTGTGCTGCATTCACTGAAGGATTATTTCATTTTCAAATTTGAGTTTTATTAAAATTCTAAAAATAGCTTTGTAAAACAATAAAAATTACTAAGGTAATATACAGTAACAGTAGTGTAAAAAAAAAACCTATCTTTTTGACATAGTTTTTTTTTGGGTTTTTTTTTTTTGGTTTTTTTTTTTTGCAGGGGCAATTGTTAAACTTTGCCCACATGTGAATATTGACAATAAAGATTATAAAAATTTCTTAGTTATGTATTTCATTTATTTTACTTTGCTATAAGAAGCTAAGTGAGATTATTTTATTGTCATTTGTCACTAACTTCAATTCAAGTCTTGACCATTTTGTCAGCAATGATGAATACTTCAAAGAGTGCATTGTATTTTTGCCATCAGCCAATTATAAAACAAAGGATGAAATTTGTAACTGCCTTGTGTTATTAGACTTCTGAAATGAATTTTCATTGTTAATTCTTGATAAGTTTTCTTTACAAACTCCTGAGATATGTGATATTTCTCATCAGAAATAACAGCTTTATTCCTTACTTTATGCTCTTTAACAGAGAATATTAAATCACACAGTTAACACTAAAACACATACTAATAAATAATGGTAGATTGATAAAAAAAGAGAAAATGTTTCATTCTATTTATATTTTGTTGTTTGAAATAAAATGAATATTACCAAAGGTAAGTCCTTTTCAAAATTATTATAATGTTTGATATACTGTAATATCTGTTCTGTTTATTCCAACTAATTTTATTATAATTTTAACTGTACAGTCTCAAGGAATTAGTTGTGCCTGATGTGGATCAAAATGAAAATAACCCAAAGACTTCAAATACCCCATACAAAGTGCCAACCATTGTAGAAATGCGAACAGTAAAAGCACCAGTGTTGCCAGTTTTCAAGGAACTTGGTTATGAGTGAGTGCTCCACTTTTTGTTCTATTAAGAAATTAGTGGCATAATTTGCAAACAACCAGACTTTTTAACTGTTCGGTATATAAACAACCTTGTTCGATAATAATTGACATTTAGAAACATCTAGAAAACCAAGAAACATTCTTTAATTATGTAATAGCTTTGTTTTCTCAAATCTTTAATATTTTTTCAATATAAATTGCCAATGGCATTATTTGGTTTGTATGTTATAATTGATACAAAAGTTTTTTGCCTTTTTTTTTTTTTTTTTTTTTTAATTTTTATTTTACGAAAGCTTTTATTCATAGCATTATTATTAAATCCTCAACATTTCTTTGGCTTTTTATGACCTTACACCACAAATAATTTTTTTATTTTATCATCAAAGGACAAATGTAATTTTGATTTGATAAATTCTTTGAGAAATCTTTCAAAATATTCATCTTGTTTTGGGCTGCTAACTCGAACTGTTTCAGAGAAAGAAACAAATAGCATTCTGAAGACAAACCAGTCTAGAGAATATGCAACTTATGGAAAAGTTTCCAATTTCAGCTTCATGACTGTTTGCTGTGTTTACATCATCAAGATGAGTATTATGATGCAACAAAATCATTAACTTCCTTGTTCAGAAAAAAAAATGTCTTTCCTCTTCCAATGTGTCATTCAAACAAACTCTTGGTGCACTAGCAATTTGTTCAGGTTCCAAAGTTTTGTTTTTTTTAATAAAGACTTCACTTTGAATCCCACTAAACACAGAAAAAAATCTTTTTTTTTTTTTTTTTTTCTTCAATAGATATCATTTGAGATATTGAATACTGTCCTGGATATAGTCTTTATTTTCCCTTTTTATTTTCATAAACCCATTTTTAGTTGCCAGTGACTAGACACATTTAGACCAAACTATTTTAAAGGCTGGTGACTAAACACATCTTTAAGGACCAATCTGTTTTAGTTGCCATACGTTTAAAAACCAACCTATCTTTCATGTAGAATCCATTTCCAAAGCATTAGAAGCAACAAACTTCAGTTGGCTGACTGCATAAGTAATAAGGAGCTGAGTAAATGTCAGACACTTTAAAGATTTCCCTAATATTATGCAAAAGATAAATCTAGGAAGTTTTGCATCACTCTAATAATATGGAAAATAAAAATGTGCTGAGTAAACATAACATTAAAATTAAAATGTTTTTTCTCATCCTAAACCATTTATATTATCCAGTCCAAAGACAAAGGACGAGATGTAGATATCCACAGAATTAAGGAAATTATTTTAATAATTACACTTTTAAAAATATTTTATTTCTTCTTTAAAATAAAACAAATCCACTTGTGGATAATATTTAGAAAAGAAAAAAAAAAAAAACAGATCAAATATTTTTAGCAGGTGGAAGAACATGAGAAAGGCTAATTTTAATTTAGTAGGAATAGTTAAAAGGGTTAAAAACAGATTCTAAGATTGTTTCATCATTTAAATGTTTATGAATTTGGTTTTATCTTTTTCTCTCTCCAGGAAAGGAAGTGCCATTCCAGTTAATGAAGTCAGAAACGTTGTTGTAGAATATGTGAAGAAAAAACACTTACAAAGAGAATCTAATAAAGCGTAAGTGACAGTCTTTTATTGTAGCTTTATTAAAATGGTCTCTGTAATAACAACTCTCTTTCAATTGATTCTTCTGTCATTGACTCCTTCAGCACAATGTTTTCCACTGACTTCTTAAATTTCTCATATATTTATTCATTAATAAGATTGGAAATATAGATATTTCTTTAAAGAAGTTTTACAAATACTTGACCAATCCTAAACATTCATGTATATTTCTTTCATTATTTCTGTGAGTTTTTTTTTATCTTATCTACTGAGTGCTTAAAAAGATTATTTTTTTATCAAGTAGATATGAGTCATGATTCTATTATCAGTAAATATTTAATCTAAATTAAATACTGCATGTTAGCTCACCTTTTGGCAAAATATATTAGCAGAAATGATAAAATATAAAATTGGTTACAGAAATTTCTACCAGTTTATTTTTCATGGGGAATATGAAGAAATATTTCTGTTTTTTTTGTCTACATACAGAGATGAATAAGAAAACAATTTCAGAGACAAGAAATTTGAATAAATGTCTCAAAGATAAACAGAGACTTAAAAATAAAAACTAATAACATTTTTGCAAACTTGAACCCTTGTGCCTGCAAAGAAACGGTGTATCAAAACGACAGTTTTTCCCTTGACACTGCTATCATTTTAACTACCTTCATTTTTCAGCAATGTTTATCATTTTAAAAAGTGATGATTAGAATTGTAATAAAACCTAAACATGAAAGTAAATTTCTACATTTTCTTTGTTCTTGAGAATTGACAACAAAAATAATAAATACTATTAGATTGTTTATTGAAATGGTTGGCAAATTGCCAATTCATTTGAACTTTATAAAATGATAAATAATACGGATTTTCTTATAAGTGGTTTGTTTATAAATTTATGAATTAAAATTTTTTTATATTTCTTTCTTTTGGTGAATGATAAATATTGCATTGCATTAGTTTTAATTGTATTAGTTTTTAGAATGTAAATATAAAATTATTCTTGTAAATAAAAAATCTCATAAATAAATAGTGTTTAATATTTTTGTTGTAAATTTTAAAGAACAATAAACATTGTGATTTAAATCAAGGTTGTTATGTATGTTACAGAGACAAATTCTCTGTAAAATAATAAAATAAAATAAAAAATTTTTAAAAATGAAAAATAATTTTGCTTGTCAATGATGTCCATTAATAAAGACATTATTACTAAGTGTTTAATATTAGATAATTCCATCTTAAAAATGTTTTAGAGGAGATTAAATCAACATGATTAACAAGATTTGTATGGCTCTTCTCTTACCATATATGTTGACGTACAAGGCAACCTTTTAACCTTAAAAAGTCTCCCCCCACCAAAAAAAAAATAGGGGACCATCTTATACTCCATGTATAAAATATGAACCTTAAATCCTGTGATTTATGGTAAATTGCTAACATGGGAGGTTTTTGATGGCACGCCGACCCCTGCTTTCGTAACTATCAACACAAATATTTTCTACTAAAACAGCTTAATTCATATTATTATAATAAACATGTAGTGTAATAAAAGTACTCTTACCTTATATAATATGTGCTATGATTGCACAACAACACTAAAATGTATATTCATCAAAAGAGAAATCCAAAACCACCGTCACACACTGTAAACAAAGCAACTGTTAATTTTGAGTGCATTCATTTTAAAATACAATTTGGTGGTGGTGGTAAGTCATCTTCTACAGCAAATATAGCCTGAAATGTACATTTTTACTTGGAAATTTGGGGGTTGTCTTATATGCCCAGTTTTCTTGTACACCAGCATATAGGGTATATCAGTAAGAGCATTTGATTTGATAGTGAAGGAAGCAGGTGTTAATACTAATAGTTTTAAACATCATTGAAATCTATAAGCAAAATCATGAAATTTTTTTTATCAGTGCTGATTTCATTTGTAAAACTAAGTATGGAATGACATTCAAAAGTTTGCTTTAGGTTTTTTTTTGTCTTTTTTTTTTTTTTATCAAGATCTTTTGCATCAAAATCTTTTTCAAGAAAGAATGTGTCCTTGATGTACAAGACATAGAGAGTGGGTTTGTCTGTTTTCAAAAATTTTGTTTTCTAAGTAGGCCATTTTAAAAAGGAGGTCAAAAGGGAGTTCCCATGTCTACACCATCAGTTTGTGGGAATACTTTTTCTAAGATTATCATAGAAAGGTACTTGTGTTGTTCATGCTTACAGGATTTTTCATAGTGTTTATTTTGACTTTAAGATGGGGGAGAAGAGTGCTTGTAAATATTTTTTTTTATAGAATTTCAATTGATAAAATGTTGATAAATAAGTTTTCCACATCAAATGAAGCAAGAACTTGATTATTTGTTTTGACAGAACACAGAATCTTAATAAATTTGTCAGTGGAATTTATACATTATTTATTAGGTAACTACGGTGCCATTAATTGATGCAGCATTCTTCATAATTGGTAAGCAGGATTGGGCACTTTTTATATAATAGGATATATAGAAATTGAGTTTGTGTAATTTTGACATTACCATAAATATAACCAGGTTGGTCATTGCCAACTCTGCATTATTAGCATTGATAAGCTTGTTGACTTGGGCTTTGAAGAAAGTTTGTGGTCTCATATTTTTCAATTTTTTAAACTTAGTATGGTCATCCAGAATTGTTTGGCATCCTTTTTATTTAAAATGAAAACAAATGTGGGATTTTTCATCTCCCCTGGTGATACTGGAGTTGTTTTTAAGCTGTTTATTCCAGTTTCACCAGGTCATGTAGTCTGGAATAACTAGTGATGAGTTTATCTTCTTTTGACTCATTGTAAGTGTCAATTTTGGACCAAAGTTGAGAAAATCCTCTTTATTTTCAGAGAAATCGTAATCAGATAAGTTAATAAAATTGTCGGAAGAATTTTAGATTAAATTAGGCCTCCATCAATCTTGGAGAAACTATGAAGTTGTGCTCTTGATGATGTTTCAGTCATCAATTCCTATCTCTCAAGTGCACAAAACCTGAGTAGGCAGATATAGTAGACAAACTATTAACCATACAGTAGGTCTCCATTTTCCATGTTGCTGAAATGATCTAATGGAAAGGCAAATACCAATATACAGTTTTTCAATGCCATCACAGGAGTTGCCAGGATGTTGCTGACTACAAACACAGTCTTAGGCATACCAATTCTGGATTTTTCTTTAAGGTTGAATACTGAAACCATTTCGATGAGTGGTCATAGCCACAAGGCAGCTGAGATTTTAAATTAGTTTTCTTTCCTTTATCAGAATAATTAGATAGAATAGTCCAAAATTATGTAACTTTTTTTGTGTCTGACTTGCTACTTTATAAGTTTCCCCTTCAAATAAAGTAATTTCACAAGAGAAACTTACCAAAAAATCTTAAGACATTGTGTCTGTTCTTTTAATAGAATATCTTTAAATATATGGTTTCCGTTTTATTATGTTGGCCTATGACATCAGAAGTGGATGTTGGTGATGTAAAAATAATAGTTAAACTTTCCCAATAATAACCACAATTTTTTTTTTGCCTTGTTACAAATAGCAGCTGAGTAGGAAGAATCTGGCTCAATGAATTTCTATATGTAGCAAAAATAGCACCATTTTAATATGCATTGATACTTACTGGATGCTTAAGGAGACCAAACAGTGGATGTGAGCCCAGTTAGGCAGTGGGTAATGCACTTCAGCAGTGATGTGTGTGACAAGCCACATTCTGGGTGGCTTTGCATAGTTGTCAATCTAAATGAAGAGTGTCTTTAGAATACATAGTCAGCTAACAAAATGATGTTGCTACAATATTTCTGCAATATTAGAGATTGCAAAACCGTTTGTTTGTAGACACAGCACAATGTGTTCTTGTAATGTTACATTAACAGAAAATGGATAATAAATTCCAAGGAGTAATTAGAATGTGTATTCATTATTTAAATTAGTGATTCTCAATTAACAAAATATGAAAATAAATATGGTACTTTTTATAAATATTGTTAAGTGAAGAAAGTCTTCTGATTTTATAAGTGACCAGGTTGAAATTTTTCAGCTTCAGCACTTCACAATGTTGCCATAACTTTGTGACAATGTTGGGGATGAACAATTAGTTTGGAGCCTGGAAAAATGTTGGTTGCATTGTTACAGTAATGTCATCACATCTCCAACTAAAATAAGATATATTTGCAATGTTACAAGAACATTCCATGTTGTAGTTTTCATAAAAATGGGAGATATTACTTTTAGAGTGTCTCTCACATGTATGTAAATACACATACATGCACATGTGACATATTTATAACAATCTGTTTTCTTTCTGTACAATAAAATCATAGACAACATTTTTTTTTTTTTTTGTTTTTTGTAATTGTTCCAGTGAAGTACAGTTGGATCCAGTCTTAGCAAGTGTGGTTTTGCGTCCTGGTGAAAATAAACCTTTTTTGGAATGGAAAGATCTTGTCTCCCGGTAAGTGTTTAAAATATTTTGAGGTTTGGAAATTACAAACATCTTTTCCTCCCCAACAAAAATAAATCAACTGGATTTTTCCCTTGGGCAGGTTCTTTTACATAAACAGTGTTGTGAATGTGCAGGTATCTTGGACATGAATTCACAATGAACTCCTTGCTTATTTCTTCTTGATTTCCATCAAAGTTGATTATAGAGGGAACAGTTTTTCACTGTTGCTATCTGAGCAGTTGGGATAGTTTGTCTCTGACAACTTTTGTTGTTGTATGCTAAGGATCAGACACATCTGTTGACTTATACAACCAAGTGAAACCAAGCAGTCTCAGCTGAAACCTAAACTCTGTTCATTGATTCTAAATTCCCTGTCGGTAACTCTTATGATACTTTGCACCTCAAAACTATAAATTTACGCTCATAAATCTATTATATTATGATTTGGGGTATTTTTGACTGTGCATAATAAAAGGTTTGGATCATTTATTTTGCATTATATATTTCCAATTGAGGTTAAACATGTGTTATTGACCTCAGCTAAAAAAAAAAAGAAAATAAGGCAAGTGACATTTCAGGAGAATATTGTTCAACGTCTATGATCAGATCAGTCTTTTCGACAAACGAATTGTGACCACATAAACATTGGATAAATATTTTGAAAGAAAATTAATATAAAAACCTTGATTCAAGTTGGTGTGTGCAAAAGTTTGAAGAGCAAATGGTTTCATTCTAGTAGCCAATGTTAAATTTTATTAGCAAAAACTAAAATATAACAAAAGAAAATTTATTCAAAATAAAAAATATTTGCAGTACTCATGAAAACTTCAGTTTTACTATTTGAATTTTCTGATGAATCATAATTCCTAAGTTAATGATTGAATAAACATCATTAAATATTTGAGCAAAGTCATCAATATAAATGTAGGTGATTATTGTAAGAAATAAGAGGATACAAATGAAAAGATTAAAAATTGACAAAGTTTTCTATTTCACTGAAGCAGACATTAAACATAAGAGCATTATTGCTTCCTTCCCTTTCTTTCTTTCTTATGTATGCTTTCTTCTTCTTCTTCTTCTTCTCACTTTAACCAAACAGCATCTCTGATATATCTTTTTCTTCCATCTTTCCTTACAAACAGTCCATTATTTATCTGAAGTAATGGCAGTTGCATAACACGCATGATAAATAACTTACTAATGGAGAAACAATCAAAATTATAATAGGATTGTTCTTATAGTTAATTGTTTCTGATTTTTTGTTTGTTTGTTCATCTGATATATTGTGAAATTGATTTCCTGTTCAGTCAGTTAAGTGCCATATGTGATACACACTTGGATGATCATGTCTCTTTTAGTTCATGACTGGCTAGACAGAATATTTTCCCATAGTAGTTGTCATTTCTTCCTGCAGTAAACTAGTTACCAACAAAGGCTATAGAATGCAGTCTGTCTTGCTATTCAACCCATAGCTGTAGGGGGAGAGAAGAGATGGATTCAGACCTTTCCCAAGGGTATTTACACAAGTGATTGCAATAAACTCGACTGGAATTCAAACTCTGCTCTTTGATTTCTCGTTCTGAGCCAATATCCATGATGCCACAACGCGCATCCCGTCATTTGGGCAAAGTTCACATTGGTAGAAAGACAAGCTTCACAGAATATATTATCATCTTTTATCAGTTCTTATTAGCCATTTCAGTTACATTATCTAGAATTCTGAAAAAAATCATACAGATAGTATTAAACAGACAGTATTGATGTAAACAGTTATATAATATATATATATTTATGATATATAATATATTTATGTAATATATTATGTAATGTTATTGATGTAAGCAGTAATAACCCTCATTATATGTAACTCAGCAATGTGCACCCCAAAAGACAAAAATGCTGTAACACTTTTTCTTTTCTGACAAAAATCTTCCTATATGCTGAAGTAAGTGTGCAAATTGAGGTTTCGTTTCATTCACTTTTCCTTTTCAATTTCTTCAAAGTAACTTTCTGCTGATTTCAAGGGTCATCAGGTTATTTTTTTGGAGGTGGGGGGTAGGTATGTTTATATGAGAGATGAGAAAGACAGGAATGAAATTCAAATCAATATTGTGCATATAACATTTTATTGCCTTAGAAAAACTTAACAGAATACAAAGAGAGGAAAATGAAAGTGTGTTCAATGAGATGTCCTCCTTACACATACAGTGTGTGTGTGTGTGTGTGTAAAGTCTTATTGAAGATGTCGAGAGACTTATATTGGAGGAATGTTTCTTATTGGTTTCATAGAGTTTACAGCATTCGACATTTGTATGCTGTGTTGTTTTTGTGCACTACAATCAACTGGGGATTAAAAAAATCCTCTGGAAATGGGACACATTTTATCCCTATGGCATCCTGTCTGTACAAAGGACAAAAAATATCTGATTCTATCTATCTTCCAATTGAGCAATCTACACGACAAATCATTCAAAATAATATGCAGTCTCAGTCCTCCAACTATCTTTAACTCTCTGCTGCTCCACATTTACATTCAGTGTACTTGACAACCTCCCCCGCCTCAGTGTCAAAACCACAGTGAGATCACCAATGAAAGTACTGCACAACTGTACTGATGTCAATTCCATCCTCAGAGCAATCGGTGCACTGTCATAATTATTTGACTATTGTTTCTTTCATCTTAATTTCAGTTGCTTTTTATCCCAACTTCTCAGACTGCCATTCCGGAGACTAAGACTTGTATTTTTTTTTACTCTCTGGAAGTTTTGTCTTTACACAACATCCACCTTATTAGTTAAATCATAAAGGCAACACCATAAAGAAGTTCAGATCTAACCATAAAGCTTTCATTAAGTTTCCTTCAAGATTTGATTTGTTGCCATTTTGAAGAATAAATAAATTATAATTGACAGTGCTTCATAAATTCAAGATAATAATAATCTATTACTGTAAACCAGCAATTGTTTTTATGGATGACAAAATAGCTGGACATTGGGGGGGGGGGGGTGAAATTAGTCTCTAAGGACAACTTTACTCAAGGCTGAACATGGGATAAGTGGTACTGGCCTCTAGGGTCAAAGTAACTACAAGGGCCCAAACTACTATTTTAGACCAAACTACAAAAAGTGACATCTTATATCAGAACACCCTAATTTTAGGTGTCTATATAAATATTTATTTCTAAAAGAAATACCAGTGGAAGTGCCATTAGCCAAGCAGTTAGCAGCACATAAGATGGAATCAGTGAGCCAAGTTCAAACTACATGAGATAGTCTGCATTTATTTTGCACTAATGTCCTTAGAAAAGGCAGGAATAGGAATAAATGATGCAAGTGACATTGAAAAAGGTTCTTTGTTAAAAAGAATTCACATACAGCAGTTACTTAAAATAATACAGTATTTTATAAAGAAAAAGTTTTTTCCTAGAAATATAAAAAATGAAATTTGAGAACAGAATTTGATTTTGGTATGGTACTATTATTACTTAGTTGACCATTAAGCCACGTTTTGTTTAAGGTTGTCTTATTGGTCATCGGCTGTAATTGTGATGTTTTACTTGGCCGCTGACTGTGTTAGTGGAATTAGAAATTAGATTTAATCTGGAAATAAAGGATAAATCACATACATTGTGTTCTGATTTATTAACGGATGAAGTTTCTCTGGTTCACTCAAAAGATCCTCAAGTGGAATTCTGGTCTAATGATAACTACAAACAAAAATCCCCAGTCAAATTTATTTATTGCAATTAAATAACATTTACATTATTCAGACTATTGTCCTCATCTTTGTCACCATATTTATTACAACGTTTAGGCTGTTGTATGCTCGGCCTACTTCAGGTGGTTGGAATGTTGAACTGAACCTTTATTTAAGCTCACTGGGGTAACTGTTTCTGAAAATGGATGTCCTTTATCTCACCCCTCTCCAAGTTCTCCACTGCCTTAACCAGGTATTGAATTCCATCCAGGTCTTGTCACTGGATCTAACTAACACCTTTATCCACTGTGCCATGCGTCCTCAAGGCGTTAGTTAGATCCAGTGACAGGACCCAAAGAGTGTGAGTTCAATACCCAGTTAAGGCAGTGGAGAACTTTCAGAGGGAAATTAACAGGAGATAACTGATAACTGACATCCATTAAACATGGCACATGGAACTAGAACAGTCTACCCCAGTGAGCGAAATAAAGGGTTCAGTTCGACATTCCAACTACCTGAAGAAGACCGGAGCATACGACGGCTGAAACGTAAAAAAAAAATAAAAAAAATATGGCGACAGAATGAAGACAATAGTCCGAAAGGGGTGCTGAAAAGTTCTCCACTCAACCAAGAAACCCTTCCAAAAGAAATCTAATGTTTGCTCAGATTTTGTAGAGTGGGTCATGTGGATAAATTTTTCAGCACCCTGCTCTCATATATGGTTGTTTAGGTTTTAGTTATTTAGAAACCCAGGCAAAGGTCCAGTTTCTCTTCTGATACTGCATTATTTTGCAGTATTCACTGTATTTGATGTGCATGACTACCTCAGATGCATCCTGATTTCAGAAAATAATATTCACAAAATACTACTGCAGTAGTCGAGGGAATTTCTAGTTTTGGGAACAGCCTCACTTTCATCTACAAGGCATACCATAACAAACACCCCTTTGTATCCAGTCGTAATGAGATAAAGTCGGTATTCAACTGATAGAATGAGACATTGTATAGACTTTCGAAAGCTCTGGCTGTGGCTTTAGATATCTCAAAAATATTTGACATGCTAGCCTTCTTCACAAGCTTGAGCTATGGTGTCTCTGGCCGAACATTTGACACAATCGTTTTTAACAAATGGTGTCATGAAAGTCATGATGAACAACCATACTTCTAAATCATTTCACATTAATACAGGGGTGCCCCCCCCCCCCGGGCTCAATCCTTGAATTTACATGGTTTCTTATTTTCATCAACAACCCTCTCCATGTCATCTGTTCTCAACTAGGTATTTATACTAATGACAAAACTATTTACTCCTGTCCTAATAGTAAGTGTAACAGGTTCAACAAAGTAAAACTGGAAATTTCTCTCAAAAATTACCTCCAATCAGTTTTTAACTGGGGTAAAAGATGGCTCGTAAATTTTAATACTTCCAAAAAAAAAACCTATCTTTTAATCATAACAGAGAACCAATTTCATCTTCCATCAGTATGGCTAATGCTAACCTCCAGGAGAGCAACTAATTGCAACTTCTTGGACTCAGATTTTCCACTCACATGAAGTGGAGTGATTATATTGAATCAAATCCTAGGTCTGCTGCTAAGATGGCTCTTTTCACTGTGTTGTGCCAGACAGTTTTTCTTGTTAGTATCCATCTTGCGCATTTATAAATGTACTATTTGTCCATTCATTAAATATTGCTGGCATATCTGGCCTGGTACTTTGGCTATATATCGTGAGATTCTCAACAAAATCCAAAGAATCAGTAATGTCAGTGGTTTTGACATCTCGACTTCAGTCATTCTCCTACTATCATGACTTCCCTCTATCATTTCTATTAATATTTTCATAGCAATTATTCTAATGAGATTCCACCCTTTGACCTTATTAATCCTTCATATATAAGTGTGTGTATGTGTGTGTGTGTGTGTGTATATATATATATATATATATATATATATATATCACACACACACACTTTTCAGTACCTTCTCCTATAGTGAATGCATGTGATTGTTTTCATTTTAATTATTTAGAAACCCAGGCAAGGGTCCAAGAATTCTTCTAATGCTGCATTAATTTATGTTGAGTATCAGATGCATTTTGTGTGTGTGTCTATTGGATAATATATATATATCTTTATAAAATAGAAGACTAGTGTGGCAACTTACCATCTTGCATACTTTTACCTGTGGATCTTCAGGCCTATAAGAGCCAAAATATTCTGGCACACAGGCTTAAAGATCCATAGGTGAAAGCACACAAGCTGGTAAGTTGCAACACTATTTAACATTGAGCATGTTTTAAAAATATTCCTTTTATTTATTTATATCTGATAATTCAGTCAGTCATTAAGATTATGTAATGTGTATAAACTTGATCTGGGATATGTATTCGATCTGAGATATAGATATATATATACACACACACACACACACACACACATGTGTTGAAATATTAAACAGCAGCATTTCAGTGTAAATTTCTGAAATAAAAGAAAGTGGGATGAAAAAACTTATCAAAATTACATCTGAAATGTTTTTTTTGACACAGATTGACTGCCAAGATGGAAGTAGCCCATGAACTGAGGGTTAGTGGACAGGCTCCAATTTTGAGAAAAGGCCAAATTAAAAATATTTCCATTGAAGTGCAAAAGAGAATGAATAATAAAAGGGTAAGAATTTTCTCCTAAAATGTAAATGAATGTCATGTATGTATGTATGTATGTATCTAAACATTACTGGAATCTTAAAGATGGAGACTTCACCTCACAAATAAAATGGATGATCATCTGTCAATCACAGACTCCCATCAACTTGACAGTTGCAATCTATGCATTAAAGAAAAAATTATAATGATTAAGTACAAAAATGCTGATGAATTATTGAACCAACGGAATGAACTTATTTTCAAGTGTAGGCATAAGAACCATTTTAAAATTCCCTAATAACATTAATTATTGAGAATTTTATACTTTAAGTGTTGGATATTTTTTATTAATACTAACATGTATGCTTACATGTATTCATGGTGTTTTTGTATATACGATCATTTATGTTGTTTTCTTGCCCACATCGATTATAATCTTAAATTATGAATTTTATTTTTTTTATCTATAATTTTTACTTTATTATTATTATTAACATATATGTATGTGTGTATGGACGTGTGTATGTGTACATATGCACACACACGTCTATATTATCATACAATGAAAGAAATCTTTAATAAAAAGAAAGAACCATATGAAAAAGCTCTCCAAAAAGTGGTTTCAAAAATAATCTTTCTTTCTTCTAGATGTAGTACCAAAACATTGAAAGTGGAATGGAAGTATAGAAACAGAAAAAGAAAAATTATTTGGTTCAACCCCCCACCCCACACTTTCTGCAAACTGTCAAGTATTAATATTGGACAGTATTTCCTAAAACTACTAACTAAACGCTTCCATAAAACAATCCTCTAAATAAGATATTCAACAGGAAGTTAATAAAAATTAGTTACTCCTGCACTAATATGTACCAAATTCAGCAAATAAATTCTATGGGAAAAAACTAAATCCAGCATGGAACCCACTGTAATTGTATAAATGGAGAAAACTGCCCAGTTGAGGGCAAATGCAGATCCACTAGAGTTATATACCAAGCAACCATCACCCCTGAAGAAAATAAGATAAATTATGATACATTGGTATTTCCACAGGAGAATTGAAACAGACAATTTACGCACACACACACACACATTTACCAATCCAAATTAAAAACACCAAAAAAAATTGGGAATTGAAGGAAAAGGGTCTGAATCCTCAGATAAATTGGGAAATTTTAGTTTTTAAATTTAAATTATTTTTTAAGGATTCATTTTTTTTTAAATTGATGTTATTTCTTTATATTGATGTCAAATATTTTAATATTTTTTTTATTATCATCAATTTGTAATTGTGACTGTTTCACTACTGAAAATGACTAGACAATTTCAATGTATCTATTTTGAATATGATCACTCCCTTCTCATACCCTATTTCTTATCAAGTCCCAGTAATATATATTTTCTGGTCACCTGACTTAACTCCTTTCTTTCTTTCTCTTACTCTTTCTCTTTCTCTTCCCCTTAAAAAACCTTATATTGAAATCTGTCCTTCTCCCTCTTTCTTTCTTTCCCCTTTTAATATTAAAACTTTTTTCCTTTTTCTATTTTCTCTCTCCCTTCCCCTTTTTTTCTTTCTTTTCCTTGTGTCTGAATAAATTGAATTTATTTTTTAAAATTGATCTGAAGAGATTATCACCTGACCAAGTGGATTTTGAAGGATTCTGTATTCATTATTATATTTGCTCTGTTCTTACTTTAAGCTCTCTTTGCATTTAATCCTCCTTGGAATTAGCCCAACTAATCATCAAGTGATATTAGATCTTTTTATCACTTTAAACGTCATATTCAGTGAATACCCATATTTGAGTAGAAGCGCCATTTATTTATTAAACAGTATATTTATTTATTTTCATCTATCCACTTGAATGTTTAAGAAATCTTATTAGGGAAAAGTTTTGTTGTTTCTCTGATTAAGTGACAGTATGAAGAAGCCAATTTGGAAATCAATCCCTAGAACCAGCATCAAGCTGGCAATGGAAAAAGCACAGAAAATCAGGTTGGGTTTTGATTATTGCAACAAAGTTGAACTTCTCTAGGGATTGAAGTCATTTGAATTCAACGGGCAAATCTCCCCTGAAATCTGCAGGAACAGCAGGCAGCTTGAGAGTAGAGGAATTAAAATGGTTATTCACAACTCCTGGAGCCAAACTTTTCCCTCAAAGTCTGTTACAACACTACTATTTACTCCTACCTCAAAAACAAATCTAGTGTCCCTGATAAAATGTCTTGAAAAGGACCTCCAATCAGTTGTGAACTGGGGCAGGAATTGGCTGGTTAATGCCTCAAAAACAAAACTGATCTCTGTTACTCACCACAGAGAACCATCCCTGTCTCCCATTAGAATGTCTGATGCTCAACTCCACGAGAGCACCTCTTTGCAACTGCTCAGTCTCATATTGACTGCTGACCTGAGATGGAACAAATACATTGAGTCGATAGCTTTGTCCACTGCAAGGAAAGTTGGCTCCCTGTGCTGCGCCAGGAAATTTTTCTCGACAGAATCGATCCTTCAAATCTACAAATCAACCATTCACCCTTGCATGGAGTATTGCTGCCATATATGGTCTGTAATCCTTTCTGTTTGTCTTGATAAAATCCAGAGACAAATATGCAATGTAATTGGCCCTGATCTGGCATCTTGTCTGCAGTTGCTCTTTCACAGACATGCTGTTGCCTCCTTCTGTCTTTTTTACAAATACTTTCACGGTAACTGCTCTAATGAGCTGCTTTTGCTGGTTCCCAGACTTCATGAATTTAAACGTTCAACTAGGCTGGCATCTCACTCACACCCTTTCACTGTCATAACTTAAATGTAGCCACCTCTTCTAGTTCAATAGCTTCATGTCTTGCACTTCTCGCCTGTGGAACTCCTTTCCCTTTTCCTGTTTCCCCAATAGCTATAATCTTCAACTATTCAAATGTAAAGTCAATTGATGTCTCCAGATGCCTTGATCTATCCCCTATCCTTCTCTTCATCCTTTCCTCTATCACTCGTATCTGTTCTTGCTCCAACTCCCCTTGTGTGCTAGTGGCTTCCCGCCTTGCTTGGGGGTGAAATGCTTAAAAAAAAAAAAAAAAATATCAGTTTTGACTTTATTACTTCATTTACATTATTCTTTGGAGCAATAATATTTTGCACAAAGTTCCAGTAACAGTTTCTGGAGTTTGGGTTTTTTTTTTTTTTTTTACATTTAAAACAGCTGAAAAAGAATCACATTTAATCCTGTAAATTTTAGAATTTATGCTATGGCAAATTTCTGTAATGTCCATATTCTTAGTTCTACTATTTTTTTTCAATTTTATCAGTGATTAACTTAACAATTTCTTTCAATACCTTGTTTGTTAATACTTCCCAGTGATATTCAATTTGTGTTTCTACTTTTCTTTTTTGTGTTAATAATTTTCTTAACTTCTTCATTGATCTTTAAAATCATTAACATCACCAGTTCACCAGCAGGCATTTATAAATTCTGATTTGAATTCATTGAAGCTTTGATGAATGTTGCTGCATCTGCAATAGTAAATGTTTTTTAGAACTGCATAATGTCAAAATCAGGGTTTGCAGCAATTGCTACCTGAATACATTCAAATTCCAGACAGGTGTATGCAACCTTGAAACATGCAAGTAGAGGGACTAAAACGTAATTGTATTTGGAGGTCAAAATACAATCTTGACATTTTTATTTTCATATCAAACACATTCAGGATATTCAGCATTATTAAGACTTTAAATTCCAATTTTTCAGTTTCCAAGTATTTTGTCCACTTCTATGATGAAACATTGTTGGAATCATTCTGTAAATAAAACTGCCATCATCCACACTTTCTGATTGTGTTGACAGAACATATATATATATATATATATATATATATATATTTAAAAATTATAACATAAATATGTTATAAAATCACTACAAAAATAGCCATTTTGTTTCAACACCTTCAGTGTCTTATCAAGCGATGATGTTGAATGTAGAATAAATGGTTTTAAAGGTTTCAAATTAATTAACAATCCTTAGCCAGGGGAAAATGCTGCTACATAAGCTAGAATGACCACTCAAAACACAAGTATACGAGAATTAAAAAAAACTTGACAACGAAGTAAGGTTATAATAGCTATTAAGAGCTTTAAAGTTGGGGTTATACGAAAATAGAATTTATTCTAACCAATAAGTATTAAATTATATGATAAAATTTGATATTAAAAGTAAAAAATTACCAATTTTAAAATCTAAATTTAATCTCTATTAAGTTTAAAATTACTGAGGAGAAAAGAAAAAATACATGTTATTCAATTTATTTTTTCTTTGAAATTATGTTAGAATAGACGCTAATATCGGCTGGTCTTCCTGACAAAATGTATACATTTTAATTCCAAGTGTGTGAGTGGGGTGCTAACCTCTTGCGTAAAACAATACAAACACACTCAGATTATAATACATAAGCACTCAGACATATTTAGATATACACACACAAAAAGGTGATGAGACAGGAAACATCTCCACAGCCCTTTATAAAAAAAAAAAAAACGAACACATGCATACATACACAATTAAATGTGCATGCATTTTCTATATAGACACCGATAAATACATGTACACACATCGACATACATTGACCTAGACAATCTGATACAACAACCAAGAAATATTCCAGACTTAAAGTGTTATTAAACGAATGCTAACCACTTATTAAAATATAACTTATACGGGCAAATACATAGATAAAAATGGTCAAATAGAACAGAGAAACAAAGGACATTAGAACAGATATATATGTTTAAAAATAATATTATCTAATATATAAAAAACGAAAATTCCAAACACACAAACATCTATAAAAATATATTTTTATCATATAAGTCGATATACGCCTTATTATACATTAGGTGAAAGAAAATAAGGTAATAAGAACTACCCACAGATATAAGTGTACGGTCACACATATATACACATACACACAAATATATATCTACACATACCTACATATATATATATATATATATATATGCATATATACACATACAGAAGTAAGTATAAATATATCAACCCACACAGCGACGTAAAAAATAAACAAACCAAATATATATATATATATATATATATTTTCAGAGCAGGTCATATTTTCTCTCTATAAACATAATCAATGGGCAAATATGCAATTATCCCAACCACCACACTGGCCTCACACACACACACTATCTTCACTGTCAGAATTCTGCAACTACATACATCTTTTACCATTTTAAGTAGCCCTTAAATAAACAAGATTCAAAATTATTGTTGTCCTTCCCAATTTTCAGACTGTTTTTTGCAACTGTTTAGCCTTTTCTCTTCTGTTATTTCCCACCAGATGTTCAGTTTTTTTTTTCTTCTTATCCCAGGCAACTATTGTGTATAACTTGGAGTCATTTGGAATTGTTCCAGAAAACTTTGCCCATGAAGTCAGTGTCGGTGTGGCCTGCAGTACAAGTGTCACTCAGGCTGACAACAAAACATTGGGGAAACAAGTCATGATACAAGGAAATCAAGTACATTTTGTAGGACAACTTTTATTAGGTATGGTTTTAATTTCTGCTCGTTTTTTTTTTTATCTATGAATGTAGATATTTATGAAATCTTGTCTGTCATGCATGCAGAACTGTTTGAAATGTGCATATAACTTAATATTTTATCTGAATGCTTTCACAATGAGGGTGTAGTCATTGGATTTTCTCTATACAAATTCTCTGAAAGAAAGATTTTTTATGAAGCTAAAAGAAAGTGTTAAGACAATTTATAAGTTAAGCAATTGACAGATTTTTTTTAAATCTGAAAATATTTCTCATTATTATAGACGTTAGTTATAAACATGTACGCACAAAAATAATGTTTATAATGAAAGGAGAATTTGTTCAAACAAAACAATACAATGAACTTTCATTGAAAATTTGATTGATGAATTTTTTGTAGTCCAAAGATGAAAGTTCTTAAATCTATTGGATGATTCTCTTGACTTTAATATTCCTGCATTTAGACTTAGCAGTATAAAATCTCAATAAATTGGGGGTGGGGGTATGTGTACATATATGGATGTGCATTTATACATTTGCAAATTTGTGTGTATCTAGTATCTTCATCCCTTGAAAAATCAGATTATTTGAAATTTTATTCATACTGTCTTGCTTTTTTTTTTTTGTTTTGTTAAATTAAGCATTGTTAACCATTATTAGTATTTTTCTTTTATTTTAATTTTAGTTGCTTATTTATGTATTGTTGTCCAGATTGTCAGTCTATGGCCATTAGTAAGCCACACTGATTGGCCGGGGGGGTCTGTTACCTTGGGGAGCCTGTCCTTTCTACTGCATGAATCATGACAACCCTACAATTGACAAATCTAATTTTACCATAAACTGCATTCCATCTTCCTCACCCCACCCCAAATCACTTGATTTAATATAATTTTGAATCGATGTGGCAAAAGCAGCCATCCTTAGAAAAGCAAATAAAATCAAGAGCAGATTCTTTATTTAAAAAATGTGCTGATTATTGACAGACATAAACTAATGGCCTGGGTAACTGTGATAAAAAGCTACTGAAAGCTGAAATAAATCAATCAAAAATTAATAATTCTTGGCAAAAGTTTAAATTTCATTCATATGTTGTTATTAAACTTTATGGGTCCACCATTCTGTAAATATATCGAGTCATGGTGTAAATAAATCTTTGGCACTTGCAAAACAATTCCATTAACTTTATTTGTAGTCTACAATACAAAAACAAGATATGTAGATGCATCCATAATTCAATAAGTGTTCATTAATAGAAGCAACTGTAATTTCATGTTTATTAAGCAAATCTTTTTGTGGCACAAAGTCATAAATATGGAGCACCTTGTGAGGATCAATCTCACTACTAAGTCAAGCTTGCTGACCATTACTCGATAGTTTCATGTTGGGTCTATTCTTCCATTAAATAGAAATTTATAGTAATAAATTTAAAAATATACTTGAACTGGCTTAAAACCCAAAAATGTTAATTGAAGCTCTAAAAAGGATTTTAGCAGTTTTATTGACATTTAGCATTTTGTTAACACATTATTGTGCATATCCAGCAAATACAAATATATATATATATATATATATATATATATATATATATATATACACACACACACACACACACACACCCCTCACCTTATGTTGGTAATTTGTTCCAGGAGAGGAGACTTAAGTTGAATTTACTTGTCTCCATGCTAAGCCACAAATGACCATTCCCAGTTCTATATTTTATTTATAAATGCATTTTTAATAATATATGGTCAATAAAAACCTATACTAAGCTTACACACAAATAAATTTTAGTTTTTAATATAGTACAGAAAAAAGTAATCTAAATTTACAAATACATGTACATACATACTTGGAAATGTAAATTGCCAATCTTTACAGTACATCATGGACTCTTTATTTGTGAATATGGTTTACTCTAAGACATTAGAAAGTAAAATGATTTTGTAAGGTTAAATAACAAATAGTTATTAAAATTATTTTGCGATAGTAGAAAATAAAATAATTTATGTTAAATTTACCAATATTTACATTCAATTTGTTTATTTACATCGCAGACGTAAATGGCTGTGGATCGTAAGCATCAACAACAGATTCTGGCTATTGTTGTTGTTCGATATACTTTTTAATAAGAAACTGGTCAAGAGTTCTTTGAATTGTGTTCTTCAAGGATTACATGATAGAGGAGCAAAAGCTCTGTGACAAGTGTGCATAACTTTTGAAGAGTGTTGACCATTTGGTCCATATCCTCAAAGATTTGAAGTCCTTTTTCAATAAAAGCAAACGCTTCCTGCATTTTCTTTAGGGAAAAGTGACATGGCTCAAGTTTGACTTCTTTTTTTTTTTTCCTGCTCATTAAACTACCAAATCCTTGACTTTTAGGGGCTGCTTGTCTTTTTCAAATAAATTTATGAAATCCTCCTCCTCTACCTCCTTGCTCATGGTCACCAATGTTTCGTTGATTTCAACATTATCAAACCCCTTGAAATCATTCACAAATTTTGGGCATAGTTTTTTCCACACACCATTCATAGCTGTGTTCTGAACATCATTCCATGAGTGAAAATCTACAATGTTTTGCAGGTGGCCAGGAGCATTATTGATTATTAATATAAAAGAAATCCCTTTCTTCCTGTAATAGTTTTCCACTGTCAGGATAAAATGATTAAAGAGCCAGTTTTTAAAAATAACAAGTAACCCATACTTTTTGGATTAGTCATCTATATAACCGGAAGAGATGCCTTGATTACATTCTTCAGGACACAGGGGTTGTGTGCATGATAGACTAGCAATGGTCTTAATTTAAAATCTCCAGCACATTTACCTCCTAACATAATGGTCACATGTTCTTTTGAGACCTTGTAGTCTTAGATTGATTTTTCTTCTTTGGAAATCAAGGAACGGTCTAACATTTTTTTCCAATATAATCCAGTTTCATCAATGTTAAAAATCTGTTCAGGAAGTAACTTGGTTTCTTCAATGATCTTAGCCAATGTTTTAGAAAAATCAGCTGCTGCTTGTTTGTCAGCTGATGCACTTTCACCTTGCTTCTTAATAGTGATAACTTCTTTGTTCTTTAAATCTCATAAACCAGCCTTGACACACTTTAAACTATATATATCTCTCATTAACTGTATTACTTGATTATCTGTAATTTGATTAGAATGATATCATTGACTGCTTTAATCACAAAATTTAATTTTTTACAAAACCCCATTTATTTCTGATTATTTTAACTTTATAGGAGGCACGGTAGAGTAATGGATAGCGGCTTGGATTGAGGAATCGCAGAGCCAAGTTCGAATTCCAGTCGAATCCATTACATTCACTTACGTGCTAATACCCTTGGGAAAGGCATGAACCCTCTTACTCTCCCTCCAGCTATGGGTAAAATAGCAGGACAGACTGGGTTCTATAGCCTTGGATCGCAACTGGTCTAGGAGAAGGACAACTCTGAATTCAAAACCTGCGGAGGGTTGTTTGGGAACCTTGTGGCATTCGGTGCACCAGGTCTCTGTATTCGTCCCTTCAAAAAGTGTGGATGGTCCTGCACGAGGCCTTCACCACTATAATCAAATCCTATGTGCCGGTGTCGATTTCCTGGAAACTGATCTGCTTGACCCTCATACATCGAATCTCGACGGGAGAGTCGATTATTTTAACTTTGATGGAGAGAAAAAAAAAAAAAAAAAAAGCTAAAGACTTGGTGTTGCATGTCATGTCTATTGTTCTTCATTTACTTTTTTTTCTAATTATTTTTTGTTTGTTCTTTCTTTGGTTTGTTGCCAGCATGAAGTCCATTCAATAAATTAACTCTTCCCTTAATTGGTTGTCTGAGTAAATCGGAGAAAATAATACTTTTGTTTAGATAAACAGTACACTCTTTGCTTATTCACTGCTTGCTCTAGTCTTTACTATTTCAAGGACATATATTTAAATCAGAAAATCCACATTTGATGCCACTGAATTCTATTCAGCATTTATTCAGAACAAAGAATGCATGCTATACTCTTTCAATTTTAATAATTTATAAATTTCTATTAGGAAATATGAAATATTTTAAAACTTTCTGTTTAAGTGAAGTAGTTGAGAAATATTTAATCTTTTTTATTAGTTTTTTTTTTAATCTTATTTTCGTTAAAAATTTCCACCTTTTTTTTTAATGTATGTCTCCTTTTGAAAGTTATTTCTACAAGTGCTGAAATGTGGTAATTATGGCTTCTCAAAGGTTTTGACACTTTTGTAGATGAATGAAGTAATTGGTGTTCATAGGCAAAAAAACTAAAACCTTGGACCTTGCAACTGTTAAAATAAATCCTGGAGCCATTTTACACTGACTAATGTTGATTTAAAATCCAGACAATACGAGTCAAACAGCCAACCGGTTTCACAAACCATTGATAATGAGTTTCCTTTCTTATTTGATGCTCCATAAAAAAAAAAAATTTGGCCTTATTCAACAAATTTTATTTTAATCAATCTATTGTGCGAGTGAGTCTTATTTATGAAAGAATATCTTCTTTTGTATCTTTGATTTAACCGACTTCCATGTTATACATTTTGGAATTTGCTCCATGGCTAAAACAATACCAAGTTTAACTACAACAAATGTCATATGTAAAGTCGAAATAGAAACCAGATTCTCAATACCCAATTTTCCTACTTGCTCCAATCATGCACTAGTAAAATCATAAACTAAGTGATATAAATGCTTTTATTTTTCATTGAATCACACATGTATTTTCAATTATTTTATTAAGAAAAAAAAAAAAAACACATTTCAAATGTGTAAATAATAACTTAGCTATTTAGTAGATTTAAGTGGCAACAAAAGGCTAGTCTTATTTCCAGGCAATTCTTTATTTGTATTTAGAAAATCTAATTTCATGAATATATTAGGGCTAATCGTGGAAATAGGTGTCTAACTTGAATCACGTTCTTAAACAGCCTCATTGTATTGAGACTTGTATATGAATGTCATGCATGCCACCAAACCCATTCAGACATATGTAAAAAAAAAAAAAAAATAAAAAAAATGTCAACTGTATACAACCACTTTCTCAGATCAATGATTAAGAATAGCTTTGTATGAAAGACCATCCTTCAAACTTTGGGATTCTGTAGCACCAGTCCACAAACAAAAACCACATCACTTGTGGACTTTCAACGGCAACAACTAAAATGGATAGCACTAACTCGGAGAAAATAATGACACAATCAAGATACTGACATTCCCCACTATTTTAAACAAAAGGTTAGGAAGGACCCCCCGCCATCATACTGAAGAGTGTTTTAAGAGAGATTTCATTTGAAAGTGGTACTGGCTGCTCGGTCAGTGAATGCCAAATGTTTCCTTATAAGGAAACTGCTAATATTACCATCTTGAATGCAAGCAATTGTTTAGTTTAGAAGCGGGGAGGCTGAAATTAATGTAAAAATGTTTTGGAGCATCAAGAAGATTTAAGAAAATATGTAACCCTATCACAAACTGTTAAATTTTTTATGATACTTTTCTCATTTTTCATGTTTTCTAGGTAAATATGGTCTTCCGCGGAGATTTGTAAAGGGTCTTGAACTTGCACCTAAGAAAGGCAAACGCAAGTAACACATTTTTACCAAGGGACATTTCAGCGGACTAAATATTGTGTGCAAATTTTATGTCAAGCATAAAATCTTGTCCTGTTACAATGGATTTTTTTTGTGTATATTTTAAGATGGTGCACTCAGATACAAGTTAAAATAGAATCATTTGAGTCCCAATACCTGCTATAATGTTGGTGTCATCATTCCAAAGAAATTTTCGGGGCTGTTATCAAAATATTCTGACCAGAAAAGAATCAGTAGCAATTATGTTGCTCTAAAATAATGGTCTCTATTTGTTTTCTGATTGCAGAAGAGAGGCAAACTAAAACCACATTGTTTTAACTTGAATAAAAGCCATATATTGGCCAAAACATTTGAAGAAAATGCTCAACTGTCTAAACACTCCATGGAATAAAAATGCTCAACTGTCCAACTAACCAGTGGCTGGATCTGAACAATCAGACAACCTTAAACTTAAGTTACCGATCTCTTGCTAGTCATAACTAAAAATCCCATTACCAATATTTATAATTCTACAGTGAACTTCAGATTGAGCCAAGTTACAAATAGTGCAGGAGACTAAATGCCTTTGTTGATAGGCTCAACCATTCATTCTCTTGCATTTAGTCAGCATTCAACTGAAAAGGATTCAGAGGAACAATTTCAGTAGAGATGTAGGTTTTTTTTTTTTTTTTGACAGTTATTTGTCACTCTTGTTTTTAGCAAAAAGTTGATTTAAAGTTTATATTATTGCAATATTATAAGCTAAAACTTAGAATTTTAAGAGTTTAAACTTATAGCCAACTAAATTTTTCACTAAATATCTGTATAGGATTTATATATAAAAAAGTCATTTTTAAGGCTGGATCATGTTTTTAAATAGTTTTCTCAGTCATTGAAATATGCTGGCAAGGTTAAACGAACTCACAGGTTTGAGCTTTTACCACTGGATATAATTTATAATACAGAAGCCTGCAGGTATTATTCACTGTATAAAACAAACACATATGCAGTGCATACCATCACCTTTCTAAATAAAACTCCCTCTATAGTTACATAAACAAAACAATCATTCTGCAGGAAATTGAACATGCAAACTTGTAAAGGTTTTCTTTGCAATTGGATAAGTTTTATTTTTCATCTCAACAGCAAAAAGGCAACAGCACAGAACACCATTAAAATAAATTTAATAATTTGTTAATTTCAATGTTTATACATTCAACTAAATTACTCTTGAGAGTTGAATTTTAAGTTTTCCTGTTGTGGAGAAACATTGACAGATTTCCATTTAAAAAAAGAAAAGCAATAAAATAAATATGTATCAACTTTGTTAATCCATGTATATTAAATATTAACCAGTAATCCCTTCATAAGGCTTAGTGGGTCCAGAATAGTTATGAATATATTGGTTTTACCAAATCATCAAACTAACCTAAAGAATTTTGAATAATGTATACAGTTAAGACTGCAAATTTGTTTATAAGACTTAAAAAAAAAAAAAAAACACTATATAAAGATTTAAGCAACCATTTTTGGTTAATCATTAAAAACGTAAAATATATATATATATATATATATATGTTTTTACATATAAACATAAGTAACTATGCAATTCTTTGCAAAAAAAAAAATTACTATTACTAAAGTGATGTATTTCATTTTTAGAGCTCCACCATGTACACAAGCTCCCCATACTAGTTACATCATTAATTTATATATATATGGTATTTTGAATATGGTTTTAAAAAAATGTTTCTCCTTAACTAGTAAATTTTTTTTCTGACTAATGAGGAAAAAAGAAAATTCATCTTAGTTTGAAAAGTTACCAGTACTATTTTTTTAATCACAATGAAATGAGAAAAAAAAAAAAAAACAAACTTTGTAGCCAGGATAGAATATCACATGGGGAAAACTTGTGTTCATTTATTGTAAATTGCTAGAAACTAGACACATTGTGTGCAACTCTACAGTGATCAATTAAATTTGAATAAAGGATTGGAAGATAATTCTCCCAGAATTGACTGCTAATTTTGCTAGATGACAGTGCCTGTTATGGTGCAAATAGGCAATCATATCTTCCACATGACATTCTTCAGAAGTCATCTTTGTTAAAAATCACTGCAATTGCATGGAGCAAAGCAAATGGAATTGTTTTATGATGAATACATAACAGCTAAAAAGTGGTCTAAGATTCAGAGGAAAATGTGTTGTAAGATTGAATTAAGCAAACTTTCATCTTCTGTAAAAAAAAAAAAGGAAATTGGTAAGAACCATTTCAGTATAAATCACAAAAATTGAAGCATTTCTCTTGATAATTTTTAAGCCCAATCATGTTACAAACAAGTCCAACACAGCCATTTATAAGGAATCATTGTTGTTATAAACAAAAAAAAGGTGGGGTGTTACTCGGTAAACTGATTATAGTACAGTTGGCATGTATTTGCACAAGTTGATTATTTAACTTTGTAATTGATATTATATTGATGAACCACTGAATATGAATGAAAGGCCTGAACATTCAAAGTAGAGCTTAAAGCCTTTCATTGGCAAAGTTAAAAAAAAAAAAAAAATCTCTTGCTGAAAATGAAATTGCCTTCAGAAAAAAGTTCCCCCAAACCCCATTTACTTGTAAAAGTTGTGATGATTTTTCTGTAATGTTAAAGACAAAAGCTTAAATTTCTTCTTTCTCATAAAATTATAATAAATTAACTTTAAGTACTTAAGTGATCAATATTAACACTTTCAATTCCAGCATTTAAGTAGCTTTTCAGTTAGAAAACTTTTCAAGTGGGAAGAGGGTACCAATCTAAATATTAGAGATCATGCTTTATAAAATGTAAGTTTTTTAGAATTGGTACATTAAAAAAAGTACAGAACTAAATTTATAACCTTAAAAGAAAAACCTCAGTTAACACAGAAAAAACGAAAAGATTGAAGAGACAAGGCAACACTAGATAGTCGAGTATTCAAATTTAAATCTAAGTCTTATTGTAGATACACACATTTATGCAACAGTCAATATCATTTAAGAAGATTGATGAACAATCTCATGAAAATTTATTGAGTCATAAATAACTTGAAACTGGGAAACTTATTACTTTTAAGTAACTAAAGAGAGGACCCTTAACTGGCTAAAACATATATAAAGTATACAAAGTGGATTAGAACTGTGAGATAATTAGTAATGAACTGCAAACCAAGTTTAACAATGTATATTAAGAGTGATCATCACTGTCTCATACTTGTAGCATAATGCCAAAGATGGTATCAACAACTCAACAGTATATTTCCTTCATGTAAACTGAAATATGTTTAATAAATCATTTTGAGAGATGCAACCAGGGGAAATGGCACTTCCATAAATTGAAATTAACTACCAAGTTCTAGCAAACTACAACACTAAATTATTTTAAGTACTAAGTGTCCAATTCAAAGTAAATTTAAAGCAGAACAGAACACTCCCTCACCAAATCTATCAATCAAACTCATAGGCATCACCAATTCCAGACAGATCCACATACTATGCCAGCTTATCAAAATAATGCCTATTTCTTAAATGCTGGGTACCACTTTTCCAGCACATACAGTCAGCAAGACTGATAGATATAAAGATTCAGCACAAAAATCCTTTTGAATGCTTATATAACCCAGTAGCAGAATTGGGGCAACAAAAAATTGATACCAAAAACATTTCACTATCTCTAAGCATTATTTGCCCCTATGCCATACTTTGAAAAGTTCCATTTAATTACAGAAGAAAAAAAAAATTGTGACAGCAGAAAATGACCCCCACCCTGTTAAACACTTCATTTTCTTAGGTTTTATAGTGCTAAAAAAAAGAAAAAAGTGGATATATATATTTACAATTTATTTATTCAATGATAAAAATAATGCAATGTCATGAAATATTAAATGCTGCACGTTTTAACTACTAAAAAAAAATTTTTTTAAGCAACTGCCATCATTAAAAGAAAGTGATGGCAGATTTTTCTAAAGAAATAGAGGGCTGCACAAATTTCAGTCCCTTTCTGGAATCAATGTTAATGCAAAGATTTAGGTCATCTTTAAAACCATTATTTTTTTTTTTTTTAAATTAAATAATTGATTTTATTAATAATAGTCATCTCATAAAAACAAAACAATTGAGAAAGTTTTGGGGTTATTTGTATTAAGTTAGATGTATATTTGTTTCACTATCTGAACAGGTTTTTATGTATTCAGTCCATTAAAACAATCTCAAAGTCATATATGCAACTGTTAAAAGTTATACAAGATTTATATTACATGCATATGAAATGAGTGCTGAGCATTAAAATTATTTTTCTAGTACTCATCATTTCTTGAAAACACTGACATTAAATGCTCCTTTCATTCACTCATGATTTATAACTTGTTAACCATAATTTGCATCCCTGCGAGTCAGCTCATGAAAAGCATCAGTTTATATTTAACAAATTAACCATTGTTTTCTATCGAGAAAACTTGACACTGCTATTGCTCAGAGAAACATTTAGAACACTTTTTAAACTAATTTATATTCCAGTTAATTTTTTGTACGATAAAGTTAATTTGCAATCACTAAGTTAGGCATGGTTATTTTACCAAACCATTAAGCCGATTTTTTAATCTAATGAAATCAGCTTTACATCTGATTAAGTTCACAACCACTTTCTTTAAAGTAAAAGCACAAATTTACTTAGCTTAGTTTAACAAGGCCACAAGTATAGGACACTCAGTAAGGACTGACAGTAATAGTCAGCCAAATTAGTTCACTAATCATTACCCTATCAAGAGAAGCCCATTTCTGTCACAAATGCATTGTAGATTTTTTACTGATGATAAAATGCCTACCACAACTTGTACAGATCAGCAACCATCTGAATATGCCTATTAATGAGAATATTGTTGATTTTATTTTATATGTGTGTGTATGAAACAAGTGTTGAAAGAAATGAGGTGGGGAAAATTGGAACCATTTGCTTTTAATTATGCAGATTACTCAATACCAACATTTGAGTTACCATATTTTTGATCAAGTGACACAACAAATATCCAAATATTTGTATTTTGTAACAACTTGATCTTTATTATACAATATAAATACAGAAGAAAAAATTTATCTATTGTTAGACTAACAAGCAAACCATGATAAAATTGGTAAAACAAATTGATATCTGTACATCAAAATTCCAAGGTTTCAATTTTGGGAAAAAAAAAGAAGAAAAAAAGAGGGGGGGGCTTGTTTACAGAAGTTTAAAAAAAAAAAAAAAAAAAACCACCTTTCTCTCAGCTATGAAATTTACAGTTAATTTCCTTTGGCCCTCATGGAAATATTAGTTAAGAACTGGAAAAATTTAACAATTACATGCATTTGGCTGGTTCATTCATGAGAATACAAGCTCATAAAACAGCTGTCTAAAAGATCCAGAAACAGAAATTAAGCAAGGAAAAAAAAAAAAAAAAAAAAAAAAAAAAAAAAAAGTCAAATTTTAATTACTTTTGTGAGAATGGGACTGAATGAATAAAATCCAATAATGAAACAAAGAGGGTGGGGGGTTAATGAGCCTGAAATGGCCAGTCTAACACTTAGGGTTAAAGAATAAACTTAACAAGTTCAACAAAATCCTGTAAGAAGAGAAAAAGCAGACAGGTTTAAGTGTGTGTGTATATAAGGAGGGGGGAAGAAATTGAAACTTTTATCTAATTTTATTCCAAGTTTTTATTACATCCATATTTGAGAAAGCAAGTTGACCATGTGAATTAAACATTTTGATGGGTCCCTTTGCAAATATCTAGTCAGCACAGCAAATGGGTAACTGTCAAAGTCTTTTTTTTCTTTTTTTTTTTAATTAAACATTCAAATATCAGACTATTTGAATAATTAGCACATCTTTAGCCTCCCATCTGCTGCTTGATATTCTCCCTAATCAATTAAGGAGATTATTTTTAAAAGAACTCAATTGCCTCAATTGTTTTGCTTATTCTCTTGCTTCATTTATTATTCTTCCTCAGAGAAAAAAAAAAAAAAAGATTAATTCTTTGTATATGTGTGTACGCATGTATATGTGTACATAAAATATACACAATCTTTGAATACAAGAATATACAACCAACAGTGAAGGAAAATATTTTTGCTAACTTGTAACAGAGAAAAGAAGTTTTAAAAGAGAAATTCTGCTACTGCATTTGAGACTAGAATATCAGATGTTAACACAAGTGAAGAGATTAGAGATGGATGAAGCAAATGGAATAAGCAGCAGGATTACCAGGTAACCAAGATGGAAGAGTGTTAATCATTAGGCAGTAGTAGTCAACTGAAAGTGGATGTCAAAGATTGGATACTAGATTCACAAATGACTGCTATCACTGGTATCAATGGGAAGCACATTGTACACGAGGATGGTCCATGTGTTCATCATCGTCATCATCATAGGCTTCACCTCTGCGGTAATTGCGGCCTTCCTTAGGATTAAATTCAGATAAAGTGCACTCTTCTGCATTTTCTGGAATGTCCACAGGTTGACGTGGTGGCAGCAGTTTTTCAAGTTCTGACAGTCTTTCAATAGGAATGAAATTAGAAGGTGGGAAGCTTACTGTAAATTGAATTATCAGTTGACCCCTCTCAAATGGGGAGCGGTACATTGGCATGCCTTCGTTTTCCACACATTTCACATCACCATGTTTTATAACTTCACCTGAAACAATAAAAAAATCTAAGTAAGAATTCTTTCCTAAAAATAGAATAGCATGAAATGACTTAACTTTCAAAATAAACTACACTTATAGATTGCAATAAGTTTCAATAGCAAAATTCATAAGATTTCTAAGAGAGTAGTAAGAATATATAATCCTTCAAGTTTACAAGTAAATACAAGATAAATACAATATAAAACTTGTTTATTCTAAATTTCAACCCAGTTGAATGAACTTTAAATTCTTTTGTAGCCAATACTTAAAAACTAAATATTTTACTCATGACACATTTAAGAAATGAAAATTTTTCAAAACACTTTTAGGAAATAAATGTCTATGTAATTTCACTTTTGAAAACCAAGAAAATCTTTTGTTTCAATATTAGAACAAGTAAAAGCTAAGATCATGAATGCTGGTTTTCCAAGCAAGCCTTCCAACTTTTAAGCTTAGGAAAATTAGGAAACTTACCTGGTACTGTTATAACAAGAAGAGTGCGTGCATCCAATGTTTCAATAGGTTTTCTGAATCCACACAAAGCTTCTGATAATGTAATATCCAATCCAGTGAGAAGATCATCACCCTGCCGTTTGAAGTCTTTATCGTCTTGTTCATCTAATACAATAAGAATATCCCCAGCTTCTACACCGGGACATTGATCTCCTTCACCAGCAAAGCGAATTGTTTGACCATCTTTCATGCCTAAAAAGAATTTAACAAATTAAGATCAACTAGAGCCTATATATTATCTCAAAAGATAAAAATAAATTGGTTTGTAATATTGAAGGATAAGTGCACACCGAGTGCTGGAGTAAACAGTGCAGATAAACTAAAGGGAGTTAACCCAGAAATATTGTAGGATATGATAATTAGAGCTAAAGCATAATACTTCTTAGAACATGTACTGCAAAATATGTCATCCTCATATGAAATAAGTGAAGCCAATAGTTACTTGTAGATAAAATCAAACATCTTTAAAAAAAAAAAAAAAAAAAAAAATATAGAACCATGATAAGAGTAACTGCTGCCAGATTAATTTTATTTTTGTCTTTTCATTCAGAAATAAACTACACAATTAGCTTTCCTAAAACCATTAAATAAAAGTATGTTAGTACAAAATTTTAGTTTATGCTTGATGAGTACCACAGGCATGAAACTAAGTAGAACTGAGCAAAAATATTTTCTGTAAACATGTTTCTATTAGAAAAATAAATTCAAGATTTGTCAAACATACAAAACTCTGAATAAGTCAATACATTTAAATAAAAAAATAAATTTTAATATTTTTACTTTTTCTAGGGTATCAATAAGTTATTTAGCACTGCACGTTTACTTATGTAAAAGACCTGAAAATTGCAGTGAGAGTGCAAAATTAAATTGCATACAGAAATGAATGTATATAAATATATGGGGTGGGTGGGGGGTGATTTTAAAACACTGAATTAAAGAAAAAATTTAAAAAATGCAAGTACATACCAAAAAATTCATCTATTTTTTTTTTTTTTTTAAACAGAGGCATAAATTTTAAAAAGATTTCAATCAACCATTTTTATGAAAATGGTAAAAATAATCTCATTCTCATTTCTGGAAAACTTATGGGATGACCTAAATTTAACTTCTCAATCTTAGGCTCTATGGTTTTTATTCTTTCTATAATTTTAAGTTGTACAAGAAATTAATAACTTGCCTTTATCAATATGGACCTCTAAAGTTTTTTTAAGCTGGGTAGTTTTTTTGCCATTACAAACTTTACAGCGGAGCTTGGGGTTGATTAATTCCTTTTTGCCACGACATTCTGAACATACACTCTGCATCTGTTGAACCATGTTTGGTCCAAGCCGATTCATAGTTACTTGTATACCAGTTCCTTGACATGTAGGACAAGTTTCCACAGCACCTTCTTTACCACCAACACCTAAAGAGAAAACCAATAAAACATTTACAGTATTACACCAGTATACAATTTTAAATTACTTAATACGAGGTTATAATTACAACTCCAAATTAAGTGCTGACAGTCTAAATATGCATTTAAAAATGATGTTTACCTTTACACTTTTCACATATAACATCTTTTGTTACAGCTAATTTCCTTGTGTTTCCATTATACATTTCTTTTAATGTCACTTTAATCTGATGTACTAAATCTTTGGTCTTTCTAGGACCTCTCTGTCGACCGTGGCCACCAAAGAACATATCAAATATGTCCATAGCAGAATGGAACTCAAATCCACCACCGCTGCCTGCTCCACCTTTAATGGCTTCTTCACCACCTTGGTCATAAATTTCTCTCTTCTTTGGATCACTTAGTACTTCATAAGCTTGGCTAATGCTCTTAAACTGAAGAGGGAAAAAAAACAAAAAAAAAAAAAAAAAAAAAACAACTGTTAAACATGTGAAGACAAGAAGAAAATTTAAATACTATGTATTCATCTTTAAAATTTTTAATTCCCATTTTTACAACCCATCAGATTAGAAGATAAGTGTTATGTTGCTTACAAACTAAATTAGGTTTCAATTAAGTTGCAATTTCACTTGAATTTTTTTAAATTAAAAGTGAAAATATTTAGGATAAAATTACTCCAGAAGAATACAGTTAAGTCTTATTCCTCTCCCCACCCGAATATAACTGTCAGTTAATGGTTCCACTAATTATAGGCAATTTAAGTGATATTCTTACAGCTAATATAGTAAAAAAAAAAAAAAAAAAATTTTCATCTTCATATTAATAAAAATAAATCAACAACATTACTTGTTCACAGACATTAAAAAATATATACAAAATTACAATTTACCTTTTCTGTTTCATTGGGATTTTTATCTGGATGATATTTTAATGCCATTCTTCGATAAGCCTTTTTTATCTCATCTTGTGAGGATCCAGGGTGGATGCCCAGTTCCTCATAATAGGCTGTTTCTTTCACCATTTTGAGTTTTTACAACTGAAGAGAAATTGAATTAAAACAATAGTTTTAGATAAAATTCAGGAATCACTCGAGTTAAAATTTGTATATTTTTATGAGTCAAGTTAATCACAGATTAACTTCACTAAGTTTTTTTTCTCCCAAAAAGCTACCTTTCCTGCCCTAACAATGTTTGCATTAAATGTGACCAGATCTTACATCATTTATACAGCAAGTAATTAGCATTAACCAAATTTTACTTTGAATGTCATTACCAGTCTTTTCCAATACCTCAGTGGATATAACACATTATCTCTGCATCTATGACTAAGAATGGAACTAAGAAAACACTGTTTCTGATGTCACCAATACATGCATGCATTTTACAAAGTTGCTCATATACAAAATATGGAAACCAACAAAGCCATCATCCTTGCCAAAACACAATTTTAAAAATTGAATGTCTAAAATGTATACAGTATTTTCTATTTTAGTCAACAAGCTAACTGACTACTTACTTAAAAGGTAATTTCTGTAACAGCCTACTGAACAATTTTTTTTTTAATTTAAATCAGCCTCCTTCATATTTATTGTACTTTGTTTGGATTTCTTGTTAACCTACTTAAGCTATTACACTTAATTTGGAAAAAATTCATGCTCATTCAATGAGCTAAACACTTGCTTGACAAATTCCAACTATATAAAAAAAGGTAATTTTTTTTTTTTATTTTGGCTAGTTAGGTTTTAAGACTAATTACAATCATCAGAAATGACAGCTAATTTAACCATTTAAAATCACAATGAATCAAACTATGTATAAATTAAATGCATTAAATTTTCTACATTCTTTTTTTTTGAAAAGAGTGCCAACGATTTTGTTTCAATATATCTACAAGCCAAACTACAACTTTTATGACAAACTCTTTAGTCCAATATTCATCAAGTCCACACTTGACAGCTTATAGTAACTGTGCATCTATCTCTGAAGCTGAGAGACTGTTCCATGTGTTTACCCCATAATACTGCTATTACTTCCAATGACAAAAGGACTGGCATTGTGTAATCCATAAGTGTACTTACATGCCTCAATCTTCTTTTGTCATTGTGGAGACCATAAAATATTCAAAAGCTGCTATGACCTAATAACCCACACATCCTTTTGGCTTTATTAATCTGGATTTCTATGTGATTGCTCAACTTAATTATTCGCATGTATACTCTGGTCTTTTTCCAGGTGAGACTCCCAGACACTCTTTAGTCTTTACCAATGTTGCCATGAAAACTTATGCTGTGGCTACTGCTGGGATCAACGATTGCATTTTTCATTGTTAAAGTGTAGCTACCAATAGTTTGGCCAGTCAACTAGATCCTGCTGAATTATTTTTCACCATACATATCACAAAGTGAGCTAACCACTTCCGGCATATCACCGATATAGACAACAAAACAGGACCCAACACACTCCCTTGTGTCACTATGCTTGTGACAAGCGCCCACCTGAAACCACCATTGACAGAAATACTCTGCTTCCTGCCTACTAACAAGATTCCATTTTCTTACGTTTTCTCTAGTCTTGATGATAATATTCTGTACTAACAATAAAACTTCATTGTTAGTGCCGGGAAAAATGTATTTCAACAACGATTGCTGAGAATTCACGGAATAAAAAGTACACAAGTGAAATCATTAAAACTTCTAGTAATTTTGGGGAAAAAAAAATCGATTCTTTTAAAATAAAAAAAGTCAGCTATCGATTTTACAAGACTAACAACTGAAGAAATGCACATGCTAAATTTTTCAAAGAAAGAAAAAAAAAAACTTTTGAAGTGTGAGAAAATGTCCGTGGAGTTGAGACAAAAAATATCACGTGATAATGGAGTAAGCAAGAAATGTCAGAATTCAGCCAGAGTAATTAATTTCGGTTTATCATTGTTTTTAATCAATACGCGAAAGAAAATTTGACTACTCAAGTCTTCAGGATTAATCTAATCCCAAAATTAGATAACAATTAATACCCCAACTTTCAGTCGCTGATTTAATTTCATCTTTATTAAAAATCAAATCAGTCATGTAACAGGCCGGCATTGTTATTTATACTTTGGGATATTTTCGATTAGTCACCGTTTTTAAATTACTGAACAGTCTATGGGAGTTCATTTATTTTATGTCATTCTTGCATAAATTCTTACTCAGATATTACGAAATTGTATATAAAAGAACTAACTGTTAAATCAGTTTAGGTTCTATTTTCTGTTTTTTTTTATTAAAAAATGTTAAATTGTGAGTAAATCAATAATTGTTTCTTTAAAATCAACGAGTTTTTCCAAATAAAAAGTAAGATTCTGAAATTGAACAATAATCAGTTTCTTTGTAAAATAGACTTACGTACAAAAATGTTTTTTGCTTTTCAGCTTCGGAACTTAAGTTAAAAACGCTTCATCGGTGCCTTTCTCAATATTTGAAGTAAATAATTTAAAAACTAGATTTAAATTATAAGTACTTTATTGTTGGGCATTGTTGACTGTTATAAAGTTGTGGAGTAAAGTCTTTGTTTTCGCTACAAATGACTAGTCTCCAAAATAGACATTTTCTTAACATTACAAAAATTTTTTTTTCTTTTCTGCTAGAGCGTTAGAAGAGGTTAATGGCCGACTTTGGATTTCGTTTTTCTTTTTCAACATTAACAATACTTTTTGCTATAATTAGAAAACATTTACAAGAATATTAAAAATTAAAATTAATTTTCCTCACAAGAAACCTAACAAAAAGCCATCAAATTCTGATCTAATTTTGGAAGTATTTGGCGAAGAAAGAACGAAATTTCACTTTGTCCTTTTACTAGTCGTGTACAAACCACTACACTATGAGATAGCTTCCACCAATTTAAGAAACTTTAGTTGATCGATCAAAAGATTCTATTATTGTAAGTTTCAATGTTCAAGTAGTATTGAAAACTAACTAAAGTAGTGAGTCATCTCATTTAAAACTATAAATAATTTAATTTTCTAAGTTAGTAATAAAAGAAACAGTTAAGTAACAAGATCATTTTTTTCATTGAATGGAGTTGCAGTATTTTGGGACAAAAAGAAGACGAAATAAGCACAACTTATAAGTTGCAGCGATTATCTCTCTCTCTCTCTCTCTCTCTCTCTACAATACATTCATTAGAGTTTGAAATTTAAGGCAGTTTAATGTTTACATTTGAGAAAACTGAATGAATTAAAAGAATAAATAAGTTGGGACATCGTCCTTTTTTCTTTTTACTGGAAGTTTAAAATGTAGAAGTAGATCATTACAAGTAACGAGAAATCCAACAGCACAAAATTCATTGAAAATTTTAAAATTCCAATCAATTTTAATGTAATCTAAAATTTAAAAAAAAAAAAAAAAAAAAAAAAAACAACGTTGTGTCCTTGCTTATGTAGATCACAGAAGTGACTAATAAATACGTTATGTAAAGACCAAGAGAACGACAGTTGAAAAATCACAAAATACACGAAAAACCACACAAGGAAGAAGTCATTTAAGCGAATCAACCATATTTTTAAAAGGGGTAAAAAACATTAAAAGAATTTAAAAATTAAGACTTATAGAAAAAAAAATATAAAGCAGACACAAATGAAAAATTGAAATCAGTACAAATTTAAGTGGACATTTTCGGGAGAAAAAGCTCGGCTCCAATAGCCGTTATTTAATAAAAAGCTAGTTTTAACTTCATGATAAACACAAAATTAAAAAGTATGGAAATAGAGAGACAAAGGAAAAGAAAATACTTCCGAAATCTGGAATGTAAGGAAAGATTTTTTATTTAAGCTTAAGAAAAAATATGGACATTAATGAATGTATTTTCGTCAATCAAAGGAAGAGAAACAAATATAAAATTATAAAAGATGTTTTAGTTAATTGCTTGATTTGATAGTTATTAAATAACTGATCAGCCGAACATTACTAATCCTATTTTTAAATTGAAAAATAATTTAAATTTTTGTTCGTTTTTAAGGGTAAAGTACCCGGACTTGATAATGATCATATATAATTTATGATGAGACGTGATTTCCCAGGAAGAAATAAAAATAAATTGAGAAATATCTAGTCTTTTTTTGGTGAACATTAATAATAGCAGCAAGCAAGAGCATTTTTTTTTTCCTTTACTTCATAAAGAAAAATATTGAAATATCTAAAACATTTTCATTGGCGTTTAAGACCCATGAGAAAAAAAAATAAGTTAAAAAAAAAAAGAAAAACGTTTACATTTTAAAATTAACTGACATTCTAAGTTCTACTTTCTTTTTTAAACGGGCCGATTTTTTTAGAGAAACAAGCAGAAAAAAATGCCATGATCATTGTTTTTTTACGTTGAGTTCCGCCCTGCATTTCATAGCTAAAGAACATTGGAGAAAATTTGCAGATCTGTTCCCGAAAGAAAAAAAATAAAAGGAAGAAAGTCGTAGTAGATTTTACATTTAAAATAAGATTATCAGATATGATTTTTGGGGATATAAAGATAAAATAAAAAGAAATAAGCCAGCTACCGGCTTGAATAAAGGATTTCTTTCCCCGTTTTCTCTTCTTTTTTTTAACAGTGTCGTGAAAAGGAAAATATAATTTTCAAACCCTTTAAAATATATTTGTGAATATTTTAGGTAGGCGTTTCTATTTTTGTTTAATGGTTATGCAGAGTTAAAGCACTGTACGTCTTTATCTTACCTTGTCACGTCCAACAAGTCGGAATCAAATAATAAATCTGAATAAATATCTGTACTTTTTCTTTCTGTCTCGTTCACTCTTCTATAGCCTTCTCTTTCTCTGATCTAAACAGCAGCAGCAGCACAGATGATTCTAGAAGAAACTCGAATCGCTGACGTAATAGACCACGTGATCACATTAGGTCTGTGTTCTGAGGGGGTGGGGGGTCGCTAACTGTGTTTAGTTATATATATGTATATGTGTACATACACCAATTCTTGTTTCTAAGTGTATTGTTAATGTGTTGAATAGACTATCAATTTCTCGAAGGTAATGTGTATGTTTAGACGACATACAATGTCATACCTACATTCACATGTGTATTGATTAGGAGTATTGAATGTATGTGGAACTGTGTTTGGGGGGCTAGATACACATCTTTGTATGTGACATATGCATAAAATTACCTTAAATCGTTCCTAATCCTCTGTAAGTGTGTGCATTTCTTCTAATAATGTGTATTCAACTGTGTAAGAATTTGTGTGTTTTTTCAGTAATGTATTTAGGGATAAAAGGAAGCAGTAACTGAAAGTTCAAAACCCGGAATGGATTCATTTTCAGCGAAACGCATTGCACAAACGAAATCATTCGATCCGGTTATTGCCGGCAAGATAAATTATTAAATAAAATCTTTGTTTTCCCTTTCTTTAAGCAACCAAATTAATTTTTTAAAGCTTCGTTTCATTTGATAGTTTTACTCGTGTTTTCTAACCGATATGTTGCTGATAATCATTTGTAAAATCTTGAAGGTTTCCAGATAGTTCCAAAAATTCGAATCGTGTTAAAAGTAAAACTAAAATAAAAAAGGGGTTTATTGAAAAGATCACGTGACTCAATACGGAAAATGCTATATAATTTCTAAAACTGTCTTTCTGCTCGTTATAAAAATCGGTTATTAATACATTTTATTTTATTTTTTTAGTAAGCCTATAATTAATGCTTTTAGCAACAGCTTAAAAAAAATATGCCCGCTAACTAGCGATTAAAAAAACTTAAAATAAAGGCTTTTTTTTTTTTTTTTTAAAATTTAACTCGAACATAGGTTAAAAAAAGTGCTTACCTCGGAAGTTTAGCACCTGATAATTCATTTTTTATTTATTTTAATTAAAAGTGACATTTCACTTAAACAGTTTTTACCATAAAAAATTAACATTTTCCGTTTATAAATCAGTTCTTTACATTTTTTTTACGTAATAAAACTTACAATTCATGTCTTAATTTCAAGAATTCAAAAGTAAAACTCAATACAATTTCTACTGCTGGTAGTTTAAAGTTCTCTAGAGATATGTCAAATTTAGAATATTGATTAACGTTTTAGTTTCTCAATTGAAAACAAAATATTTTTGTCGGTCGCCATGGCTTCTGGTAAATTATTCAATACACAAATGACAAATTAATCTTCAATTTAATTTCAAATTCAAAAACATTTTCAAAACTTGTATTTAGCATGGTAAGTGGCCAGTGGACAAATGCGCTTGCAAATTAAAATTTACTATGATTCATGTATTTTCCTTATACTAGGCAAAGGCGTTTTATTATTAAATTAACCAAATTATCTAACAGTAAGTATTTCAGTTTTTAACTTTAAAAAAAAAAGAAGAAATTATTTGCCGATTGACGTTTTTTGTGTCAGTGTTGGTGGCGGCGGGTTTTTGGTTTTAAATCCCTTGCCCGCATTCACCAATCTAACTTGAACTTTTTCTTTCTTCGACAAAAATCAAAGCGTAGTATCTGCTTTTTTTTTTTCTTACTTTCCTTTTAATGAAGCTACAGCTTTTAATTTGATTTTTAGGGAGAAATTTGATACTATTTTTATGTTTCTGAATATCCTCAGTAAAATCAAGCAAAAGGTGTATGTAGTTTGAAGCCTAAATGACCTTCTTGGATGTGAAAACAATAAAATCAAAAATAGTGTTACACAATCTTGTACGTAATTTTACAGTTCAGTTGTTTCAGAAATGAAAAGGTACTATATACAAAATAAAAACTTAATTAAAAAAGTTGGGGTTTTTTGTTGTAACATAACGCAACCTAACATTTAAAAACAGCTTAAAGAAAGCATAGAATGATTTTTCACAGGAAATTAAAACTAAATTTTATTTTTTATTTCTCAAATGGTTAACTAACTTCCTTTTTAGTTTAATTTCAGTCAATTCAGTAAAAATTCAATAACTTTGATAGAAAAACTTCTCTAATGGAGTAAATTTTAAAAATAGCATAAAAACTAAAAGCAAATAAATATTCATTATTCAACAAAGTGGGGATGATTTTTCTTTTTATCTTTTAAACAATTATTAAACATTAACTAAAAATTTAACATTTCATAAAAATCAGAACGTAGCATTTATTTGATTATTTTTTTTTTTTTGTTGTTGTTTTTAAACTAAACATTGAAATGTTAAAATTAATTAGACTTTATTATCGACATGTTTTTCGGGGTTACTTTTTCACCCTTCTTTTAAAGTTTTGACTCAACAAGAGGCAAGGCTATTATTGTTAGTTATCAAATACTTATTTTTGTTTACATTCAAAAAGTAAAAAGTTTATGTGCTTTTTCTTCCCTATTTTATTGTTATACAGAAAATGAGAAAATTAAAAAATGAATTATTGACGTCCGTATATCATTTTCAACTCAGACTGCTCTAAAAGGGTTCTACCATGTCAATGTGTAAATTTAATTATTACCAATTACTATTTAATAATTTGTAAAAACGTGTGAAATCAAATCATGTCATTGATTGATTAATTAAAAAATTATCTTGAATAAAGGTAAAACTTACGTTAATGATGTACGTTTTGGTTTTGTCAATCAAAGCTTGAATCTATTTTACTTTTATATCGTACCAGCTTGTTAATTTTGTTGACAGTTTCTTCTTTTGATTAGATAACAGGTGCACTGATGTTGTAAAAGTGCATTACCCATGAAAGAGAAAAATATGGTTAGAGGTGGAGAAGGATTTTCTCAAAATAATGAAATTTTACAGAAATTAATTAAAAATAGTATTTTTCTTTGATTTCTGATATCATTCAGAATAAATTTGCAAGCTATAGCTTTGAAATTTGAATTTGCAAATTAAAACTTGATTTTTTAAAAATAATGATTTTTTAACTGTTTTTCAAGAGACAACAAAAATTTCAAATCACACTTTCTGTGAAATTTTATAAGGAATAAATAGTCAAGTATCATCTTAGTCATCAAAATATGATTAAATTAAATGAGATAATAAATTATAAAACAAGGTTTTCTTAAATCATTTTAAATAAAACTTTAAATTTATCTTTAAAAAAATTAAATGAAACTGAAAAGAATGATCGGTTCTAAAAGAAAAAAATTAAGCCAAAAATGTATATCATTTTTCTTTTAAAGAATGAAAATTATTGTCAAACACGGAGTTTAATGGAATTCCTTAAATTTCATTTTCTACGCATTATTTATAAAATCGATGAATTTTTTTTTTTATTATTCGTTTCGCTTTTCTTGTTTCTGATTTTCATTCAACCGTACTTTCTAAACTCAACGGATGTTTTCGCTTTTCCTGAAATTGTCAACTATTAAGCGAAAAAAAAAAAACAAAAACGTTGAAACAAAACTAAGTTGGCTATTTTAACTTCTTTGTTTTATGAAATTCTCAAAATAAAAAATGAATGTCACTACTAATGTCAGACATCGCAAGGTAAACTACGAAACAACGGCACTGAAAATGTGCGTTTGGCGCCAGTGGCGGAAGAAGACTTTCGGCTGAAAAAGATCTGAGGATTTAATCTTAAAATTTGGAATTGTTATACTCCCTAAAAATTAATACCAGTGTAAGAAAAGTGGGAATTTAGAACAAATATCCTTTCCCTAGTAATCAGTTTAATTACGATTGAAATTAATATTTCTAAATTGCTTATTTGGACAGTTTTTGTTTGACATGATCAGTTTTAAAGTTTTAAACAAAGTTTTAAAAACAAGAATTATGAATTAATGATGGACAGCCCGAGAATATTTCTACCTTGAATTTTTGCTTTCGCTCCATATTAATTGTCATTAATAACATATTTCCTTAAAGTACATGAAGGTTTAGATCTTTTAAATTTAATATGTATTTTTTTTTTTTTTTTTAATAGAAACATTTAAAAGGTACATGGAGTGTGACGTGAATATTTAGTTTTTTAATTGTTTTTATATGCGAACGAAGAAATGACAGCAGTAAGTATGAAGTGCAAAAGAATTATCCAAAAACTCTAGAATGTAACCTTAAATACTTCGGTCCTATTACCCGACCATTAGGCTCTACATTCGCAAGTACTTATGACTGACCACAACTGTCATGGGGCTTTCTTTCATGACTTAAACAGTCACTCCAAGTCCTAGACGACTAAAAACTCAAGGTGATTTAGAAAAGAATTAATTTCTTTGTTGGTAGAATAATGTTCTTATTTGGTGTAGTCAATAATTAGTCTCTTGTCTACATAAGACATTGACCTATGGGCGGGGGACGTCATTTATTTGTTTTTTTTTTGTTTTTTTTACTTTTAAAAAAAATTCCTTTTTCCTAGCTAATACAAAATGGGATAAAAAAGAGAATAGTTCTATAATTCTTTTGTACTTTTACTGCCTAAAACGAAATTTAGGTGGAGTTGTACAATAACAATAGGCATTGCGACAAGATCTTTCTTTTTCATACACTTAAACCCACTTTTTAAACTGACCTTGTGTCACACTGTTGTGACGTGGATGGACGGAAAATAAATAAACAAATATTACTTCTTAAGCACTCCACATACAAAAATCTTACCACGTGATTTCTTAAAAAAAAGAATATATTTGAAATTCGTAATGGGGAGTTTCCATATAATTTACTTTTAAAATTTACTCTAATTTAATTTTTTAAAATCACGTTGTATGAGCATATTTTGTTTTGGCTTCCGTTGGGGTATGAATTTATAGCAAACTGAATCTCCTTATTAAAAAATTGAATTTTTTGTGAGCTATATGTAAAAAAATATAGTCCTTTTGGTACAACAAAACAAAATTGATTATTTTACTTGTAAAATCAGAGATTTTAATTTAAACTAGAAA